TTGGAGAATGTGGTGCCAGAACTCAGGAAAGTTTTGCCCGGGCTAAGCGCAGTTGTGGGCTGCAGCTCGGCTGGGGCGATAGGCATGCAGGGCAAAGGACGCGTTGTAGAGGTGAGCAAGGGTCTTCGGGCAACTTCTCTTCGTAAGAAACTGCGCACCGAAGAGCACAGATGGGCACAATCGCTATTTATCGCAAGCTTTGACGGCACGGCACTGTGGGCCCTATAGGGTACAACAACACGTGACCTGACTTGTTAGTGTCATAGGTACGGTAACACTCCTGAGTATTCTACTGCTTCCGTAGAAGCTCGTGGGTGATCATTCAGCAAAAGGTGGTGAGATTTGGCCACATTGCTGTCGGGCGTATGCAGCCCAGGCCACTCCTCCATGACCTTGTCTCACTTTATGCTTTTTTCTCTGACAGGTTCCGCGTTTATGCACTGCAAGGTTACGGTTGCGCTTGAAGTGACAGCAACTTGACTAAAACGCTTTACGCCGCTTTCTTGCCCCTCCGTCGTGATCGCTAGATAGAGAACAGATCCTGCTTGGGGTTGACCCTAGCCACTTTGCCGGGGGTGAAGGTTCAACCGTTCTACCTCGCCGACATGGACGTCCCTGATCCCTTCGATCCTCCGGCAGTCTGGAAAAGAGCCGTCCAGCTTCGTGACTCAGACATCCCCGCGACAGATGCAGACGGGGACGCAGGGGCAGGTGGGAAAGGGGGGGTTGGAGAACCCATATTTTTGTTGTACTCGACCCCGGCTTCGATTGACCCCTTGGGGGACTATATGGGGGGCATGGACCAAGCATTTCCTCGGTCCCAGAAGATTGGATCCCTCGCCTCAACGGTTTGCCGGGGGGGGGGGGCCGGTTAAAAACGGTTGAAAGGGTAACCTTTTGTTCCCCCGTTTTGGCCCCGCCTCATTTTTGTTTTTTGGCTGTTTTTTTTGTCCCCCCGGGGCAAAGGGGGTTTTTGAATTGGGGGGGGGTTTTTGGGGGCCCCTTTCCAATTTTGCCCCCCCCCCCCCCCCTTGGTTGTCTCTCCACAATGAAACGCACGACGCTAGTCTGACAAGGTCTTGCGTGTTCTTTGGCGAGGGTGGGACGGCTGGGACCGTAATGGAAAAGGGTGCGTTCTACAGGGAAGGCATGGTCGGCGTATCGCTCACGGGGGACATCCGAATGCGCTCTTTCGTTTCTCAGGGAGCGAGGCGAGTAGGACCAACGTTCAACGCAGACAAGGTATTCTTACTCTTTCAGCATACATTTTTTCCGAATCTTTCCTCCAGTCCTTCGACTCAGAGCTGGAAACCACATGGGGATGGCATTTGTCTATTTGTGCTTCCTCCTTTCCGCCGCCTATCCCCACCGGCCAGTTCTTGCTTCGCTTTACCCCTGTATATGCCGATTCGTATGATTCCCGAATCGTGATGCTGCTTTGTTTACACGCGGGTGTGGAGTTTTAGAGAGCCAAGATGGTATCACGTGGTTGTGGGTGTCGGTGACTCGGATTAACTTTTTATTCGCCCTCCTCGACGGTCGCCACAAGGTGGATGGGCCAATGGTGAAGAGCCTTCGTGTCGCGGTAAGGGGAGCTGACGACGAGGGACAAGACGATTGGATAAGCCCTGCACTGCCGCCGCTAGCCATGATAAAGCAGGTATGACCCGGCGCTCCGGTATTGCATGTTCTTTTCTTTTGAGTGCTTGGTGGTATATGAGCAATGTTGCAACCGAGAAACTCGAAGCCCATTTCGTTTTTATCTACTTTCCTTTGTGGAAGGAAGCGACATGCTTTCATCTACGTGCGCATTCATTCGCTCATGGTTTCCATGTGTTATACACGGTCTCAACGCTAACTGACCGTTGTCACGTAGCCTTGCTCTATTACGGTCATGATGAACTTAGCATGTGCAAGAATGTGGCGGGAAATGGGTGGCAATCGCACTCATATCCACCAAAGCGCCACCCACGGTGTCAGTCGGGGCCTCTCAAGTGACGTCGCTTGCCACAATTGACACGGCAATCCACAGGAGTTGTAGCGTAACAGAAACATGCCCTGCCACAAGCCTTTCCATCCCCGGTAGTACTACTAGCAGCGTTGTTCACGAACGATAGCGCGCGCTCGGTCCCTCCAGGTGCAGAAGAAGCTATCCGACGAAGATAAGAGGCTCGTGCAGACCAACATGCTAGTTGGCGTCGCACCAGAGCTAATCGGGAACACGGCCAATGAGATGATGGCAATCAGCACCGGGAGGGACCACTTCGTGGTGCAGGGGGTCCTGAGGTCAGGCGGCACGCGCGTGTGTGTGCAGAAGCGGTAGCGCGGTGTCCAAACCAGCAGCACCGTAGAGTAAGCGCGCCACTTGTAAGCATTCTTAAATCCCGAACGTTGCACGCTACACTGGCTTTACGAGGACCCTACATGCAGCGATTTTAACGTTTCACCCAACAAACGTGCGTATTTGTTCGCCCGAACACGTCGAGCATTCGTTACTCTCCCACCTTTGAATTTCTCCATGCTCTTGTCTAGCACCCACCCAAAATGGTGCAGGTTTCATTTCGTTTTGTTTGCTTCGCTGCGATCGTGATCGGCAGAACTAGCTTGAAAGATGGCTCGATTACCGTTGGAGACTCCGTCGAGCCGGGGGCACGCCTCCAACTCTTCGTGCGAGACAGGTACGAAAAAAACAACCCTTGCTTCGAAGCCTACGGCGATCATGCAGATGTCTTTTGCCGAGAAGTCCGGGCCAAACCTCCAAGCGATCTAAGTTAACTCATTTGATTGGCCATGGGTGGAATTATATTTGTGTTGCCGAACGACGACGCACATGTGTACACCCAAAATATGTGCCTCGATGCACCCAGACTCGCTGCGGGGGACGAGTTCCAGGCAGCCCTCTTGGCTTACAAACGCCGTGAGCTATTGGAAACCCTGGCGTCATCATCCGGGGAGGGGGCGAGCGATGCAAGGGACGGAAACGGCGACATCGAAGAAGCTACCCAGAACGTGGGCGTCGTGGACAGCGCGGTCTCGGGGCCCTCTGCCGGAGATGAGGGGCAGACGACGCCGTTCCGAGCGGCGGGGGCGTTGTTGTTCCCTGGCTTGGACAGGGGACGAACTCTGTGGGAGGAGGACCACTACCAAAGCTCTGCGGTCTTCAAGACGGTGCCCGTACCGTTGGGAGGCTTCTTCACCAATGGGGTGGCAGGTGAGCCCCTTGAAGGAGGAGGGTAGACGGGGGTGAACCGAAGAATAATATCACGTCTTCGTCGGGAGCGAAGGGAGATGGAACGTCGATTTGCAATGAAAAGGGGCCTTCACTTTTTGGCATTGGCGATGGTGTTTTAGTGTTGAGGAATGAAACATTAGTACATGTCATGTACGCTCGCTGCAAATCGCATACCACGTGGGACAATCTTCAGGGCACCCCCTTAGTTCCTACACCCCATGAGAGCAACGCCGCATCTGTACATGTTGATCGGTCACACGCGGTGCTCGAATTTGTCTGCCGAGTCACCTATAACTCTGTTGCTCGTTACTGGTCGCCTTAGCCCTCTCTCGCTCTCCTCCTTCTTCTCCTTCCCCCCCTCTTTACTCACCACTCCCAGGTGCTTTGTCTGAAGGATCGCGAACCACTCTTTTCGGATCTAGCACATCCGTGGCTGTGTTTTCTCCCATCACTGCTCGGCGCACTACCGTAGAGCCACGGGAGGGATCGACAACCGTCGACGACGGGAGCGACGCACGTGAGAAATTTGCGTGGTTGGTTCAGGTGCTGTGTCGTTCATCGCACTTCAAACGAAAATGGTTCGGCGCGTAAAAAGAAAAGATGGGGTGTGTGTCAACGCAACCTGGCTCTACATGTGATAGGTGCTGTTCGGGTGCGTTCGTTCGTGACCTATGCCACACCATTTATCAGTGTTGCAATGTTGCGATATCCGCCCCCAAAGGTATACTGGTAGCAGTTGTCCGGATGTGTGTTGCCGGGAGACAAGGCTTTTTCCTCCTATTAATAGACCGCTGCTGACCACGAACCTCATATGCCCCGGTTGTGCACAGGTGGTGTTGTCGTGGGCGAGGATGGGGAAGAGATCCTTGGGGACGATAGCGACGACTTCGTCGTGCAGCGCCGTGATGTCAAAGCCGGCCGGGCTGTTCTGTCGGGGCCTGTGCTCTACAGCGTCGCCGAGAGTGTGGCGCAACCTAAGTGGGTGAAAATCAAACATGCTGTCCGTCCTTTTCTGGCGTAGGATTTAGGTCCTGTGAGACGAGAGGCCTGGGGAGACGATGACGACTCTCTAGCTCAAGTTTCACTCGTGTTGCGTTCATGCAGATACATCCGCAGCATCGTTTCTGGCGCCGTTGGAATGATGTCCTCCGTACAGCCTGCGCCGATGGATCGTCGACCGCACTCTCTTGGCTCGTGTCTCGCGCCAACATCGGTGTCCCCTCGCTCAGTTCGATTTCGAAAGGGCCTGGGTTTGCAACCAAACTTGCGGTAAAACCTGGTTACATTGGCAACTGTCTTGGCTTGCTGCTCTTCTTACCCTTCTGCTCGTGGTTTGTGTGAACGTTACCCTATGCACGGCGGCACGTGGGCGATTTACTGGGCGCGGTGATGTGGTGTCTGCAGGAACACGCTCGAGGCCTTGGTCTGGGAAAAGGAAGCGGCGGTGGACCGCTCCCGCGACCGTTGGCCGATGAGCTTGCTTGTCAGCCGTTGCCGGATGTTCAACCTCGAAGAGAAGAACAAACCCAGGGATGTTGTGGCCGCGTTGAACAACGGAAAGGGGAATGGCGGCGTTGCCATCTTAGCCGAGGTAGGCGACTACAGGTTCCATGGGCCGTGCTGTCGTTGTCGCACGACAAAAGAATGATCGGGCACTGCGCTTGTCGTACTTGTTCGGAGTTTGGGCCGAAGCTGTGTTTGTCGGTCTGTATCCGGTTGTGATAGGCTGTGACACGCTGGACGCACCCATAGCATGTGCGAACCGCAGGTACCTATCTCCTGCTGCATCCTTTTACAGGGTCGTTTTGTGCGTTTTTTCTTCCCCCTGCAGGTTAAGCGCACGGCTCCAGTGACGGGGAAGTTGCGACGTGGAGAGTTTGATGTGGTGGAGTTATCTCGATCCCTGGAGGGAGCCGGGGTGGCAGCTATTGCTGTGAACACGGACCCCAAGTTCTTTGGCTGTTCCTACGAGGATCTTACTAGCATACGGGTGAACGATTCCGTCTGTTTATTAGAAGAGGAGAGAACGCGCACCTTGTGGACCATTGTGGTTTGGGATACATTGTCGTGTTGTCTCTCTCTGGCCTTTTCGTCACGTCGGAATTGATGTGGTCGATGAATGATCACCTTGGTCCACAGGACGGCCGACCGCTCCTTCAGTGTCTTGTGTGTTGCCGTCTTTTTGTTCTCCGTTGCGCGCGAACGACAATCAGAACTCACCACCTGCCCTTCCGTGTGCTGATAATTGCTTTGCTGTGCAGAGCGCGGTGAGTACTCCGGTCATGTGCAGCGATGTGGTGGTATATCCGTACCAGATCTACCAAGCGAGATTGGCAGGGGCTGACGCTCTCAAACTCATCGCACCGGCTCTTCCGGCGAAGGTGGGTACTGCTGCGGGGTACGGTACACTGCGTAGTAGCACCGGCTTGTGCTGCTTCACGGCCGTTTTGTTGTTTCTGTGGGAATGTTAAACAAACTCAACTGTGGGGAGGCAGGCACGTGATTGGGCGTTGCGGAAACGTGTTGTACAAGTAGAAAGCTACACTACCCGTGTTTTTGTCTCGAACACCGAGAAGAAGGGGGGTGGGTTTTGCGTCTTTGTCTGGCTCTTATGTATCAATTATCACGCGTAGGGTGCAAATGAACCGAGGGCGTCCCCAAGACCTTGCGTAACGACGGGGAAAGGATCAGCTCTGAATGATACCTAACTCCCCCGCCTATTCCCTGATCGCAGTTAATCGTTTGTCCCTCGCTGTTGTCCCTCGCTGCTGTGCTCTTGTTCATGCAGGACTTGATGTATTTTCACAAGATCTCCAATGCGCTAGGAATGCAGTGCATCGTGTCGGTGAGTTCGGTGAAGCAGATGCTCGTGGCACTCAACCTGCCTGGCATCCGAGCGGTGTCCATCAGCAACCGGGACATGGCTACATGGGCCTTGGACACGTCTCGGGTCGAACGAATCTTGGGGGACCCAGAGGGTGAGCAAATGCTGTTGTTGAGTGAATGAGCGATATGTGGCATCAGGGGTTTCGAAGGCGTTTGTGCACGATGGAGACTGTTTTCAATTATTGGCAGGTCTTAGTGTGCCTTGAGGTTTCCAAAGGTTTTCCCCACACCTCGCAGGGATTCTCAATAATTTTGCTGCCCTGCAGCCATTTCAAGTTGTTGCCTGGTTTGCCTGGTTTACCCATCTCGATGTTGCAGTACAAAAAGGGCTGGAAGGGAAGGACATCACTCTGCTGGTCGAGGGCGGCCTGCAGACGAAAGAAGATCTTGGTGAGCATCAGCAACTTTGTTGGCGTAGCTTGTACTTTGCTGTACCCACCCCAATGTGATTGACGTGCAATTTTTCCCTCATAGCAACTGCTCAAGGTCTGCACTTTAGTTCCTCGCGACGCTAGGTACAGACGGCGGTCGTGAACCTACAAACCTAGAGCTTGGATCCAAGCGCTTATGTGATCTATAGCTTTTTCGCCGCTGGCTCGAGTTTCGCTGAACGATCCGTCTGCCCTCCCCCCCCTCTTCCCGACGTTTTCTCGTCAGACCGCACGAAGGCCGCCGGCATCTCTTGCGTGGTCGTAGGGGAGGCTTTCATGCGGAACGAAGACCCGGCAAAAGCAGCACAAGACCTTCTAGTCTAGCGTGTGCCTCTATGATAGGGAGAGGTGCTCCAAGATGAAAGAAGATGATTAAGGATTGAAATTAATTATCTAGCTAGGTCAGGTCTGAGCAGCAGTTGGTTCTTGTGGACACTGGGTAGGTTTCAATGCGTGTTTTTGATCGTATCTCGCAAAGAGTTATGCGTCTCGTGTTCGAACCATCGAAAGTCGTTCCCGAACGGTAGGTTGTGCAGCCCGAAGGCCACAGGGATGGTGAAACCTCCCGAACGGTTTCCAGCTTTCGCCGATACCGTTCCCGCTCTTCTATGTAAATGGGGATCGAATCAGCGCACCAGATTCACAACCGTTGGCGAAACGCTGGCAATCTCCGTTTTTGCTTTCCCAACCGAGTTTCAGTCCATTACGTTCAAAATCCGAGGCGGACTATTGCAGCCCTCGAAGATGAATGGATCTGTCTCGTATATATACACACGAGGAAGCCAGCCCTTGAAACTACCGTTTTCACAATGAATGACCCTGTGCCACCGGGTTTATATGTTCGGTGTACACCGCCGTAGAGGCCGATGTGGACTATCTCAACGTCCGCAACTCCGCCCCTGCAGCTCTGTATTCGGCTTCCAGGTACACCCGTCGGACGATCAACTGATAAAATGGCAAATGCCTGTAGGCTAAAGATAGGCTGTCATGTTGCTATCGCTGGAGGCTGGCGTTCGTCGTTTATTTGGTGAATGCATCGTCTTCTTCCTCGTCCTCTTCCCTCAGCCGGCGCTCGATGGCAGCTCGTTTGTCCGCTGCCAAGTCTTGGGAGGAGTGATCTTCGCTAGAGGGATCCCAAACCTGATTCGCCCCGCCCATGCACGCATCATTCGTTAAACGCACGTACGGCCGAGAACACGAAAGAGACACAGGAAAAACGACATGTGACGACGTGCTGGTTATCCATTGATCACAAACGCCCACTGCATTTGAATATTTTAACAATGAATCATACGTGTTTCACCAGGTGGCGGATTGGTTCAATTTCAACACGTTTCTGTGTCGAGTCAAGCCCCAACAGGGGTAGTTCTTTAGGCACATTTTTTCTTCTGAGGAACCTGTCCGTACTTTAGCAAAATCTGAGGATATCTGACAATTTTCAAGTGATGTGCCGAGCCTATGGAATTACTTGTCGTGTTGCACCGTCACGCTTCATCATCGTCTTTAGTTGGCTGAGATATCGAGTTCGTCGCTGTTGGGATATCAGAAAGGTTTTGTGACCCCTGTCGTCGGCTGGTGAACCTCCGTAGGCGGGAGGCAATGACTCTCTTGTACGTTGGGCTGCAGTGCAGTCTGCGTATGCATATTTTCCACGGCGCATATACTCGCTGGGCAATCCAAATGTTTGGGCAGAGGCGACATTGTAACGGTTATTACCTGTGCAGTGTCGAGCTCCTGCTGGATCTTGTCCTTGAGTTCTCTGTAGTTGTAAGCAAAGTTTTTATTGGCCTCTCTTCTGTTGTAGGTGACTTCGATGGCCATGAGGAAGTTGTTTCTCTCGTCGTACTCCACCACGACCTTCGGCTTGAACCCCCCCCAGTCTCCGGCATGACGTTCCTCGTACGTTATCCTTACCTGCGCCACACGGTAAAGATTGCGCCATTGTGTAATTTAAAACGTTACCTACCGCAGGGTAGCCACGAGTTTGTTGTAGTTGAAATGCTGCGGGAGAAAAGTACCAGCAATTTCGTTCTGATACGCTGGCGGTTGCCAATGCTTTCGTTTCCCTATTCCCTCAACCGCGTCTAAAGAAAAAAACATTATTGGGAGTGGAGAACGAGTACAGGAAACCGGGATAGAAGCTGTCTGCAGTGTTTACGCTGATCTCCTGAGCGATACGATCTGTGTAACGTCTAACACACACACTAAACCAGTAGCTGTGGTCGACCAGGATGCGCAAGATTGCCACACAACGATTACTGTAGTTCCTATCCTAGAAATCCCTCTTCTAGCAACCCCTCTTCTAGCATTCGCTCTTCTAGCAATCTGAGGCGTCGAGATGAAGTTGAACGGTATAATGTCTTTACTTTGTTCCACGAACGCACCAGATCGTTGCTGAGGTCAAAGTTTCGTTCTTCCAGCGATATGGCTTTGAACTTCAGCCACGCCTGAAGCTTGTCTTGGAATACCTGCGTCACCGACAAACGTAGACCCAGCCAGTCGCCAGAGACGCGAGAAGCGAGAAGATATATTTCAAGCTGGGCTGATGAAGGGACCTCGGGTTATTGATTGTGGCTAACAAATGGACAAGAAAACAAACTATTACAGTAATCTAGACGGCCAGACTTAGTGACGCGTCCGAACCCCCTTCACTACAAGTTGCCCAACTCCGTCATCACAACGATATCTCGAGCCTTGCCAGAAACGGCTTTACTGCACCTTGCGGTAGAATCGCGTTCGAATGGTGGTGAGCCCCTGAGATCTGAAGTGCATCTTCTTGAAAACTCTCCAAACCAGCAGAGCCACTAGTCCCCATACTAGAAGCGATATTATGAACCACAAAATTGGAGTACTCTGCAACGAGCCAAAGACGACAGGGAAGGGTTGGGCATAAACGAGGTTAGGAGAAGTCAGGGGACTGTGTTCCAAGGATGGCAGTGATTCTTAGAGCCGCTTGTAATGGAAAGTGGCGGGTTGGGTTCGTGCCATGACTGTCATTACTGGGCTACGTAATATTGCTTCGAATCCTCGCGAACCTCAAGTGTTACCTACACGAACTGGGTCCATCACGCGTTACACATGCGAATTGCTACCCTTTGCAATTCACCCCCCAGCGCCGTACCTGAATGACAGCCACATAAAACGCCTGGAACCAATCAGAGTTGGTCACAGTCCAGTCTCCCGTCAGACGGTCCAACACGTCGAACGCCAGCATGCCGGCAAACATCACCAGCAAGATCTAATGGCGCACACGAGGGGGTCACGTAGAGTCGATCACCACACAACAACAAGATCGTCGTTGTTCCATGCTTCATCTGTTCGTTGAAAGCCTACCGTACGTAGTGTTCGGCCCAGTTGAAAGTGTCGATACTATACGAAGTAGTATTTTTGTTATGGAAGCGAATGAACACAATTGATGGGTGCGATACTCGCATTCAAACAAGGATGTATGCCTTTGTATCATTGGTTGGATACATGCAATGCAAGACTTCAACTACATAAACAATGGCGAGCTGAACGTTGGCAACAATGGCGACCACACAAGGGGAACCAACAAGGTGATCCTCTGTAGACTCACCTGGAGCGACTTTGCGGACTTGTCACTGCTCTCGTTGAGGTTACACAACTTCTTGGTGTTCATCTCCAAGCTTTCGTTCAGCCGAAACATCTTGTTCTCGCTCACCTGGTACGGTACGAAACCACCAAAGTTCTCGAGAGCTTGATTGTGGTTGCCCGATTTGTCTGCATCAGTTTCGGGTTACCCTTGCGTTTTCGCTGCATCCCAGGAGAGTCACAAAACCCCGTCGCACAGTACTAACAGCCTCTGTCGAAGAGGCGATACGTTGCAGTGGAAGACGCTGCGACTATCATTGCAGCAGTATGTTTTTCAGATGATGCCTGCTGTGATTTGGGGTACTTCTGATAGATAGCCCCACGCAGAGTCGCCTGGTACAACTGATGCTCGCACCATGGCACCGGCATGGCTTTTGAAGGTCGGGGTATACTTACCACCGCGCTCATTTCCCGTAACACATCCAGGTACTGTTGAGATCCGCTAACATTCTTCTTCAGGTCGGCGGATCTTCGCAACAGTTGAGAACGCATGCCAGATATTTCCAATCGCTCGTACAGAGACCGCCCCGCTTGCTCTGGTGGTTCCGGGGGCACCTGTACACACGCGGTAGAGAGCAATGCAGCTGTTACACGACCAAAGACTGCCATGATACCAAGCGAAACAAATCCAGCCGTTCGTACAGGTATCGACGTTTAACGATGAAATAGAGGGCTACGGTTGCTTGTACCTCAATGACGTCCAGTGCCTCCAAAACGTAGCCTAAAATTTCCTCCAGCACGATGATGTCGTTTGACATGGCGCATATTCGATACCTGCACAACATACGGTTGTTCATTGTGCCGAGTTAGTGTGGATGGAATAAACTGCCGTGGCAGCTATTGTCATGCACAGGGCACTACCTTGTTCTGCTTTCGGACGCAAGGAGGGAGAAGTGCAACTAATAGCCGACAGCTAAACGCTGCTTGTTCCGTTCATTCCTTTCTGGAAATGAAGCTCCTCGTGACCCACCTGATGCGATCGAGTGCGGTGGGGTCCGTATCCGACGTGACGATAATGTCGTAGGTCACCTGCCACACCAGCGGTAAACGCTTTGAGCCCTTTCAAAGAAACTAAACTGCCGACGAAGGAACAGCAACGCATCGGTAACACATCTACCACTTACCAAGTAACGTCCACGCAAAACGTTTCATTTGCCATTTTTCTCAGTCAAGTAATCGTCTCTAGTCGGTCACTCCAGGTTGGAAACAACGCACGTCAGGAGTCCCGCAAAATGCCATACCTTCATGTCATCCGTCAGAATCCACAATCTTGAGAAGTAGTTCTGCAGAAAGATGTCAATCGTGATGAACTGGAGGTACGCGCACAACAGTGGCTCGTGGTGGCGGGAATTCGGCCCCGCGACGAGCAGCCCGTGCCCACCAAAGATGAGTGTGTCGTGCTCACTGATGTCATACGCCGCCTTGTATCGATGAGCGAAAATATACAGCATCGAAGGAAAAACACGTATCGATCCGGCGTTTAAGACGACTTGGCCCATGCTGCTTACAGTGCCTCGCTTCAGTTGGCACCCAGAGAGAATTAAAGTATTAGTGCGGATCGAGGCTGAAGGTCTTTGCTGATCGTCGCTTGTGGCGAAATGGCGGCGTCTTGTTCTCTGTACTGCCTACAGTAGCCTGCCAATTTTCTCTGCGTGGTTCTTTTTTTTTTGTTCCTCCCTCTCGTCACATGTTCAATATCCCAAACTGCTTGTTGTGTCTCTCGACCTCACAGCTGTTCTCACATCACAAAGTATCAACGGCGCAGATCTCGCAATCGGAGCTGCCAAGGCGTTGTACCTTCCCCCTGCCCCTTCAAGCGAGAACCGTCACCGTGCTGATACCATACGATACGTGGCCCTAGCGCAAAGGCAACTACACCACACCGAGACGCGCTTGTTCTCAACTGATCCCTTTTCTTTAACCTGTGTGTCGTACTTTGCGGCCTGGTGCATGAGCTCTGAGATTCTTCCCTATTTATCACTGTTCGTCCCACGTGGCCTCGTTTCCTTCACGAGATATCAACTGCGGGCGTCTACTGTATCGTAAACATGAACAAGGGTCGCGCCATAGCAGACAGTTCACTCAAAGGTAGTGTTGAGATACCTGGCTTGACGCAACCTCGAGTGTGCACAAAAAGAGCGCAAACTTGTCCCCACGCACTACCAATGCCCGGGGATATGTCCTCACGATTGAAACGCCCGAGATTTTCATCGTTCGTTCCTATCTCGCGCTAAGCTCGAATCCGTCCGATCACCTTTGTGTCCCCGATGACCTGCTTTAGTTCGTTCTCGTATTCGCCCTTGTCCATGTACTCCTCCGCCGTCAGGTGAGGCGTAATCTCATTCGCCATGATCAGGTTCACCTGTTCCGTAGTACCAACAACAGTCAATTTTGTCGTGTGGGTGTACGACGCGCCTCCCGTGAGCGATGATACAACCACCAGGTTGCGAGAGTATTGTCTGGTCTACGCCCACAAGGATAACGCTCGGGACTGAGCGATACTTACATACCCGAAGCAGCGGACATGCCTATTTGGTGAGGAAATCAAAGTAACGGAAGCACCAAAAGGTTTTCGTATCTGTAACAACGTAGATATTACCTTGTTCCGGTTTGGAGCGTCACCAAGGAAAATTAGGTTGAGAAGCTCGCGCTGGTGCTGCGATATGATGGAATCAACGATACCCGACGAATCTTGCTGCACATCCACAAGCAACCGGGCCATGTGATCCAAGGAAATGTTATCCTTGATTCGATCCATCACCGCTTCCACCTGCGGCCCGGAAACACGTAGATCAAACAAGAACATGCAAGATGCGTGGTTGTAGAAATATTCGCGGAGCAGCCAAAGGGGGTAAAAGAGGGCACGGTATTCCAAAAGCTCAAGTTAAAAGAGGTATAGACTGAATCCGTGGTCCAGCACTTTCTGTCGTACCCTGTGGAACATATTAGTTTTCCCGTGGTCATTTTCTTCCCCGTTCTGCACCTGCATCCCGTAGAAGCATGTGCCCTCAGCGTTTAGGCTGACGCCGAAAGTTTCCACCTGGACAACTCCGCTCTCCTCGGCAAAGTTGATCTCCGCCTTAGCAAATCAAACGGCAGGCGAACAGTATGTGGAGATAAATTACGCTATCGGCGAGACTGCTATCGAGAAATTCGGGTGGAACTCGGTTTGTTTGTGGTCGATTTTTATGTGAGCGTGCAAGCTTCAGCCCATATGTTCTAAAGCTAACTACCATGAACGATTTGACAGGCGAAATGTCGCGCGATGCCTTTATTTGATCGTCATACATGAACAAAACTGCAGCCCCGAGACCAATACCTCGAAGTTGATGTGGTTTGTCAGCGTGTAGTCTAGAATATCCACGCTCGTTAGCTCCGGCGACATCTCGAGGTCTGTGCCGGTGGAGTCGTCATCAATAGCGGGAGATATGAAGCCTCCTTGGCACCTCTCCGTCGATCCTACGCTGTTGTTGAGGTTAACGATCTAGAAATCGTCCCGTTTCCAGGCCGGTTGCCGGAGCAGACGAAACGCGGAGAAATGGCGTAGCGGATCCGATCGATATCATGAGAGGTTTGTTGGCCAAGGTTTCCCGCCCTCAAGCAAGATTCACATGTCTCGTAGACCACTCTCACTTCCTCTGGTGCAATGGTGCTTTGACCACATTGCACTAGATAATTTTTGTCGCCAACCCGACATAGCCATCGTAAGATCAGCTCGCAATGAAGAGTACTGACCTGGTTGGCTCCGAAAGGAATATACTCCGCTACGATGATTGACACGGAATTGAGGGTGATAACTTCATCCAGCTCATCTCGGATGTTGTCCGTATTCACCCCGGATTCGTGCGCGCGATGTGCATTCGAAAGGGTAGGCCGACCGCCGTATCGTAGGCACTGCGGCACGTAGGCCGATGACACGTAAGAAACGTCTTCCGTTTCTGTGATCGTTGACTTCCGCCGGTAACCTGCTCGTTTATCAAAGATGGGCGACAAAGGTCGGTTGGTCCGTTCTATCTGCATCGGCCTGGCTAGCACATTGCACGCCTCCGACAGGGTTGGCGCTTAGCCACAAGCACAACGCGTCCATAAGTAGGTTTTGCTACTCGATGGGGTGGGAAACGTGTACGAGATGGCGCTCATATTCGCTGACTTGTTTCAAGAAATTACCTTCTGTTAAGTGGACCAAGGGCGGAGTGAGGCTCTGCACTGGAAATCACTTCTGAAAATCGTGGGGTCGTGCGCGATTGCGGTCTTTCCTGCAGGGGAAAGCCTCGATAAACGTTGTGATGACTCGGTATTGCAATACTAACCTGATGCACTCTCCAACCAATACTCGTTTCCGTCCCATCGAACATGAAGTAACTCGCGAGTCCCCCTTGCGTACACAAACTCGTGCACGGCCTCCTTTTCTTTGCGCGTGATGCGCTTAACCAACTCCTGAGCACGCCAATGAGGGAGTGGGGTGATAGTCAAAATGTACGACCGTATCAGGCGCCTACACACGCTGAACGTGACCTCGATAGACTCTCGGTTGTGGTGGATATTCGTGATGGCCGCACGCACATGTCCAGTAGTTCCTCAATCAACACTAGCAACAAGCTGTGCCTCACGTCAAGTGGGATGATGTGCGAAGCAACCACCGACCCAACCTGAAACAATAACCCACCTTTCCTTTCGGAGATATCTGGTAGCAGGTTATTGGCTTGTAACTTCTCGACGATACATGTAGGCCGTTTACGAGCTCTTCCTCCCGGAGAAACTCCACGTCCGATTTACCCTCCTACATGCATGTGGAAGCAGCGAAATGACATATTTTGAATGCATGCCAAGAGGTTGCGCCCTTGGCAACATCGAGTGATGATTCTCACGCGCGGTACTTCCAGATAGTGCCGGCATCACCAAAAACAGAGGTGAAAAATACTGACACCACACACGGAAACTTAACGTCGTTTTCAGCAGGTACGCATTTCAGTCCCTCGAACGAGGGAGGGATACGGCGGGAGAACGATTCCCCCAAATACTGCGTGCTGCTGCTTTGTTTCAAACTATGATCGACATACAGTATCAGAACTAGACTTCCCTCAAGAACGAACGCCTTGTGAAGGTTTCAGATGACAAAGAACATGCTGAGCACGAAATCAACGTTCTTGAAGGTAGAAACGATCGCCCAAGGAAACGGGAGCACTTGTTGTGTAACTATATCAATCGGGAAGCTTCGCTGTGTTGTACCAAACACATGTTCCAGAACGATGTTCATCGTCTCACTTGGCTGACGTTCATCCATATTCGACGATTTTCGATCAGCTCAGACTGTGGCGCGTAGTCGAAGTCAAGGACATTTGCGACAATGCCTTCGTACAACAGCACCACTAAAGCAGGTTTTCGCAGCCAGTGGTCCCTGTCACCACGGGTGTCGGCCTTGTGTGTGTACAGGGACACCATGTAGAGGAGACGGTTTTGATTTTCGGTCAATCCCTGTGGTGGACGGAGAAAGAAAAACCGAGGTGGAAGCGGTTACGCATATCTTCAGTAGTGTGGTGCCACACCCATGCTCAATGGACACGAAATAAGCGATGCTGTGGCTACGCCTCCTGCAGCTACCGCGCGACGAACGGGCGTCATTTCACCCTTCAATGCAGTGCTCCGATATCGGCAGATGATCTGAGTATGAATGTATCATACAAGACACGGTTAAACGTGCTTCGCCGACTACGACCATGCTACATGTACTGTACCCAAGCCCTTGCTGGGAGCAAACTGAACTGCAGAGGTGCAAGAGGACGACAGGAGGCTGCAGGGGACAAAGGGCGAATTGGCGATACAACATCAATGACCTGGTCGTGGAACCTACGCTCACGGTACTAAAAAAGAGGCTGGTACCGAACGAACTAATGGGAGGTGTACAGTAGTCTGATAGTTTCAGGATTACAGAAGGAGACAAAGCATATATACTCGAGTATGTATTATTTGTGTATCGCCAGAAAGAGGAGCTCAAGAGTTGACGAGTTTTTGTGCATCTACTTTAAGCTACAATACCTTGCGAGCATACACCAACTGTATTGTTACGATATTTGGAGGTAGCCATATGATGGTGCGTTACCAAGTTCTTGGCGTTATCAGGTGTTGTGCTATGAAAATGCAAGATTCCGGCTTTATGCAGAATCATGTGCCCTGTTCGTGTGTGTGCATTTGCGCGTGGTTTGTGTTGGCTTCCGGCTGCATCGTGTACATATGCGAAGACGTAGTGGAGCATTATCAAGGGGAGATCAAAGGAAAACAGCAACAATCTGCATCTGTGATCGGACGACAGTACGAAGTTCCACACAGCTTCGAGGTGATTATAGTGAAGAGATGCCAATCATATTACTGAGTCAATCTGTTCCAGTCGAACAACACATTTGTTACTCTTCAACTCCAACAAGATCTTCGCAACCACAGCAGTAGTGTTCCAATACATGTGTAGGTCGATATGCTGTTGATGGTACCTGGAGATACACTTCTATAGCAGTAGTCTAACATAGAAGTACGAAGACACTGGTTTTTCGTATTGACTCACTGTATCCTCGTCCTCATTATCTGCTTCCGACTCCGTCTCCGTGTCAGAGTCCTCCGCGCCCGAATCGGTGTCAGGTTCAGTCGGCACCTGATGCGTGAGAGGGTTCAAGAGCTTGTGGTTAAGTCGCAAGCTGTAGACTATCCCAGGGTTATGATTCCTCAGGATCGACGAGCGCAACCTTGGAGAGGGACGCCATTGAGTTGCATCTCGTGCATATTAGTACAAGTAGCTCGTCCGACTCATGTTGGTCGTCGCGACGTGAATTCGGCTGCAATAAACGCGAAACACAGAGTTTTGCTTACCACTCTCTTTTCCTTCTTCTCCGCCATGATGCCTGTAAAAGAAGCAGCAAGTGCGTGTCCTTGTGGTGCTCTCTCTCTCTCCCTGTCTTCTCTCGATCCACTCTCGACGTCGGAGATGTATGAATACGTCGGTCCCCCCCCCCCCCCCCTCACGACGGTTACGGTGGGATTTCCACATCAGCAGCGTTCCCCCGTGCACGTCCTGTTTTTTTTTTTGCTCCAACAATCCCCCCGCACGGTACCCCGTATGACCCGCGGCCGAGATGGTGTGTAACATCGGGACCACACATACATCCCATATGCTGGGTCGTTGTGGAAGTACTCACGAACCCGAGCACCCCGCCATCTCACCTCTGTGGCGGCTGGCGACGTGATGAACGGCTTCAACCGAACGCTATCCTTGATAGTGCTGTCGTCAGTCATTCTGAATGAGGGGCTATCGAGCAAGATTAGCTGGATGGCGCCTTCGGGAATCGAGCCAATGACTTACGTGACTGAGACGGCATATCTGCCGCTGAGTGTCCCTAGGAGGGCTGGAAATTACCACTCGACTACCCGGGTAGAGGATGCGGAAGGCTTGGGTCGACAGGTGAACTTCTTCTTTGACGTGTACAGCTGGACTTGCGCCAACCCAATACATCGCCCAAATGTACTGACACGCCTCGATCGACACTCGACACGCGTCGGCAGCGTCGGCGGTGTTCACAGAGAGTGTACATGCGAAACGCGGCACCAATCTCCTATCCCTCGTCGTGTTCTCCATCACAGCTGCGGCGACAGCGATGATGACAGAAGTCGAACAGGGCAACAGGGCAGTTTGCCGATTACTCTGTGACTCATCCCTAACTTCAATTTGCATCGTAGTTATACATGTCACCGCCCGCCGCACGCCACACGCAGGACGGGTGTGGTCCACATGACGCCCGAACCAATTCAGAGCACGCTGGGCGGGATGGGAACTGCTGTGAAGGTTCTGGCTATGACACATTCGGAAAGACCGCTCTCAAATCGGCCGCTATACTCCGAGGTGGGGAGCTAGAACCGAAGCGTCACTTGCCTCCATCCGACGGCGATGCTGCGACAAATGACGCGAGAGATATTTCCGCCACGTTACTGTTCGCGGTAAGAAACGGGGTTGTCCTGTATCGAGTTGGTAGATTTGGAAAGAATACGACCGCAGTATTTGAGATTAGAACGCCTTGATGTTTCCAGTCGGATAGGTTCACCACCTTTCTGGGAGATTCGACTCCCTGTTTCATTTCGCTTCGTTCCGTTGAGTACTGCTGTAGTCTGCTCTTCCGGGGGGAATGTATTGCTGTATTACTTCAGGTTGCAGGTTGAGTCACACCGCCGTTTTGTGCGTTGGGGAGGATTTGGCCGCGTCACTTCCGCTGTGCATGTTTCCATGCCCGAGAGAACAAAACAGAAATCATCCGCCTTTCACTTCGTGAGCTACGCTGAATGAAAAAAAGCAACGCAGTGACAGACACAAGGAGGTCAAGCCTGTTCGTTTGGGTTGTCTACAGTACAAAAAAACACTGAAGCTGTAAGCTTCTCAGCCTACAGCAGTATCACACGGGTTTACCTTAACACAGCACGGGGAATGTGATCAGAGATGCGATGAAATTCTTTCTCCATCCGTGTGTGCCAGCATGCGCGCTGTTTCTCTCCTCACCGGCTCGCCGTCTTCCTTTCCTCCTCTCCGAGAAACGTTCGGACTCAATATCGTATCTGAGGGTCCGCTGGCAGCAATCGCACCACAACCGATGTGGCATGCGCATGTCGCATGGGCAATCCATTCAAAGATCGAGTTAGCTTCACCTTCCGCTACTACTGCTGTATTGCAGGCACATGTAGTGCGCTGGTGGGCTGCGATTCGCTGAAAGTTTAAAGTATTGAAACTTGCGACAAAAATATCTCCGCATATCCCTACCAGAACCAGACGACAAAAACATGAGTACCTAATTTTTTTTGTAATTCCTGACTTGGTCTGTTGGGAAGGTATCCATTGACATACTGTTGCACATATGCTACTACTAAATAGCTATGAGTGATCACCATCGCCTATGGCGATCCTGTTTCTTGGAAGCCATGTCTCTGATAATTTGTGTACCCTTTAAGGGTAATATCCTCTGCACAAGTTTATTTTGCCGCCATATACATGTATATTTACCTTTTGGTACTGGCCTGTGGCCACGGAAGCCATCCGTTAGAAGGTATTGGCTGAGCAGCGACCGGGACGACTGTTGTGGGACAACAACACCACAACGATAACCGGCAAATTTCTCTAGGGTCACCCCCGTTTTTTCACCGCACCTGTCTGTTTCTACTCCATGTCCGCCGTTAGGTTGATCGTTCAAAAGTAAAACCAACCAGCCGTCTATTCCACACTGCGACTGCCCATTGTAAGAAGAAACAGCCTCAGACAGGCAACACCGATGATACTCGTCGCGTTGATCAATCTCAATACGAAACTCACGTCAATTATCTGACTGTTGCTGTACCATATGTGCCTTGAAAGAGTCCGATGGATAGCTCCGGATTCCACTCCCCACAGCGCGCGTGTAGACTGCCTGGACTTCGTTCAACAAGCACGCCTCGTATGAAAGACGAATTTTCTCGTAGGGCACGTGTAGAGAGGTCTGGGAAAGGAAGTTGGAAAGTCGTAAGTCAGGAGGGGAAACGTCAAGCAAACTTGGTGCTTGCATTCGAGTTGGACACAGCAGTTCCGTTTGCACCATGCGCATCATAAGATTACGGTACAACTGGACAAAGGGTTCGTGCAGACAATGGCGTGTGTCCTAGAGCCATCCGCAAGTGGCAGGGCCGACGACATATTGTCAGCTATGCATAGCCACAAACAACCACACATGGTATTCAAAACTGGACAGCCTCCTCTTGGGCCAAAAATAACACTTTTGACACAGCCGCCCCCCAGTCAAAGGCGTCCCGGTCAATCCCGTGGGACTCCCAGGTGGTATTGAGCGTTAACTGTACTCTAAAAGTCTCCGATTTGCTTAGGTATAGACGATAAATCTGTTGTTCCCCCTACTGCTGTGCATCGTCCGCAACACTCTGCTGGCAGGCCATAGCAGCGGCTGACCCGATCGGCTCTCGCACGAACGCCTGGCACCACCCACCGACCCCTCCCCCCGAGTTCAAACGAGTTGGACACGATTTTTGTTATGTCACGTACTTCGTGCGTTTGATTTCCACCTATTTTTCTTACGCATCCGAGTAGGCTAAGGCGGACAAACCAAAATGCCGTGAGAGACAGCAGCAGTGATAACTATGCCCAACCTAGAGTGAAGGACGCTGAGAACTCCGTGTTCTTGGGTTTCATCGCCCCGGTAGCAGACGTGCTTTTGAGACTGAAAATTGAGACCACACACCCTTCGTTGTGCCCCGGTTTTGCGCGTTCTATTTCCAACCAAATTCCATTTCGCCCAGGAGGGCTCCTCTGTGCGTGCTAGGCGATCGAATGGCCCGCGTTCGTTGGAGAACCACATTGGTGCAGGGTTAAAGTCTTCAAACGCGGAGGACACCACCAGCACACAGTATGTGTCGGAGTGCCTCTTGCCTACTCCCCGGGGGAAATTTCGGCTGAGATCGTACAGGCACGAAGGAAACGGTCGGTCGATGGAGCCAGTGGTCATGGTGGCGGTAAGTTTTGGCTGGTGTCATCAAGAGGTGTAAACATCCTTTCGTATTTTGTATTTTCAGGCACAAACTTACGTTTTTAACCTCTTTGTGGATTAGCGTGTGACCATTTTTTCTTAGAAGTGTACGGGAAGGGGGAGACTCTAGATAGAGGCGGTGTGGTTTTTGTACCAATGAGCAACAGCAACAGACAGCTAACTAATCTTCAACACGAAGAAAAGCCTCATTTGCTATAGGTACGTAGTAGAAAGCTTCTCTCGTGCTGATCGCAATAAGAAAGAAGCCGGACGTGCATTTGGTGTGAGCTTGGGATTGTGGTTTGCAAATCGCCGTGACCGTATTTGTCCTTGCGGCGGCTTTGTTGATACTCCCGCCTGCTCCAGGGAGACCTTCAGGACTTGGAAGGGGTGCCCGTCCGAGTTCATGACCAATGTCTGACGTCTGAGGTGCTGGGTTCACTTCGATGCGACTGCAAGGAACAACTCGAGCTTGCACTGGACTATATTTCGGAGCATGGTGGTTGCGTGATCTACATGCAACAGGTAGGTGGCGAGATTTAGTGTTAAGAGATAGCCCTAGGGGTCCCGCAGCATCACATGCGCCAACACCACTCGCATGCTTGCATCGGGCTTTTGTTGTCTTGCCACAGCCTGCTTTCTGTAGGCCTTTGTTCCTATCATTAATGCACCTTCACACTGACTCATGCGTGAATGTTTCCATGTGGCAATTTACGACAGGAGGGTAGAGGCATCGGGCTCGCCAACAAGGTTGCGGCGTATGCCCTTCAGGATGGCGGCTTGGATACTGTGGACGCTAACCGACACCTCGGGTTCGACGACGATCTACGCTCGTATGAGGCCGTCGAGCACATTCTCGCTGACATGGGTATCAAGGTGTGGAGTTGCTTTGAGGGTCTGCTTGGTTACGTGGTGTAAACATGTCACTGCCCTACCTATTAAGTGTTATTAACAGCAGTATCATCAGCTGTGGGAGGGCATATGGTGTGGTTGGGACCTCGAAAATCATTTGGGAGCTTCTGCATTCAGATGCGTGTTTTCAGCATGAGAATTCCTTGGCCAATTGGAACACATTTCGTCACGCAGGCGAAGTTTCACGTTTTTCATCTCGACTGTTGGTTGCAGGCGCGTCCCCAAGAGAAGCCGCCCGCCTGTGACTGCAGCATGCGTATTCGCAAGCGTCCGAGTACGACAGCAAGTCCACTGTTGAACGGGCATGACGAACAAAGCGGTATTAATAGCACAGATGAACCGCCACCCTCCCGCCAACTCTACTGCCATCCCTCCCCTCCTTGCCCCGCTTCTTGAACGTTCAATCTAGAGCATCAAGTTGATGACGAACAATCCTTTCAAGCTCAAGTGCCTGAAGTCGATGGGAATCAAGGTTCTCAGCCGCATCCCCATGCTGGTCGCTCCTAATGTGCACAGCCTAGCATACCTTCGGGCAAAGGCGCACCGCATGAGCCACGTTCTTCATCAACTGGATGACGTTGAGGTGCGCCGAAGCGTGTGTTGTTGTATTGTCAACTGATGGTAGGCCTGATCAACGTCGGTGCATTTCTGCCTTCCTCGACCTTGCCGCAGCTGGATGTATTCGATTTTGTTGCGATATCTTGTCCTAAACACCAGAGATGTATGGGTGCGTGGTACAAGCAGTGTGCCTAGAAGCAGTGTGCCTCATCGTTCGCTTTCTGCCCTCGGAACCACCGCATAAACGTTCAGATTCTGGGTGAATCGCCGTCGGATGGCGCCACCGCGCCGGTGGCTCTTCCGCTGGACGAGGTTGGGGCGATTCGGGGTGGGGTAAGTATCTCCAGGACTGCCACGATGCTGCTAGTTCAACCGGCGTATCGGTCTTGTAGAGCAAATCATTGCTACCTCGGGGGGACCGCGGTGGGTTGCGTGATACCAGTGACTACTTTCGGCGCTCAGCTTGAACGTCTTGAAACGTCTCGGATGGACTAAAAACTTGCGGGGCCTACTTCTTTTGCCACACTGGGAGAGACAGGTGTTGGGCAAGGTTCACTTTCGGCAACCCGATTACGGTGGCGAATTGCTACCGTCCTTCGAATGTGTTCTGATGCTTGCCGACCCCTACCCCCCTTTCTTTTACTGCCATGATCAGGAAAGCACTAGGGGAAGCGAGGCGGAGCCGGATGAGGAGGGCTACGCCTTTGGACGGGATTCAGTCCTGGCAGCCATTGAGGCTGTGAGGTCAGGGAAATGCGTCGTTGTAACGGACGACGAAGGGAGGGAAAACGAGGGCGATCTCGTGTTCGCAGCGGAAAAGGTGAACATATAGACTGAAGAGTGATCCTGACTTTTTCTACGTACCCATGTAACTGACGCGATAGATCACTATGAATGGCCGAGCTTACTCCCGACCGTTGAACCTCTTAGGATTGTACAGATACCTTTAGCGACTTTCTCAAACTCCCCCCTCTTGGTCTTTTGCGCGCTATATCTACCCCTCACAAAAGTTCTGCACCGTCTGCTGTTGTCGGGCGCGTCACCCCTTTATTGCAATGCTGTAGCTGCACGCTAAGCCGCAGATGTGTTGCGCTTGAAGATGTCGATGGTAATTATTTGTGATGATTTTCTGGGTCCTTTCGGTTCTCTTTTGTTTCCATAAGATGTGGCGTATTTTGAGTATTTAAGCCAGTTGAGTGACCAACATGGATGTTGTAAGGTACCGAGCAGAGATCGGAGCGGCTGCCGTTGTTAAGACAACAAGAAAAATAGTTGCTACACGAAGCGCTGGGCGTGGTTCATAAAATCATAATTTCCGCGTAGGCATGCACCAGCTGTGTCGCTGACAATCCCGGCCTTTGCTGTGTATCATGGTTGTTCGTCTTCTGCACTCAGGCCACTGAAGATTTGCTGGCTTTCACGATACGTCACACCAGCGGTGTTATTTGTGCCTCACTTGGAGCCAGGCGGCTTCAGGTGTGTACGTGGCTTCAGTGGTGGTGTTCACGCTTAGATGAGTACAATTGCTGTGTTTGTGTGCTCTACACTACTGGATGGCACTCCACGTACCTTGAGTCACAGCAGTTTGGTACATGCGGTTGCTTGCCCCTCTCTTGTTTAGAGTGCATTAAGGCAAAGCCGCATTGGTGGTCTGATGTTTTGAAGACCGTTGCGTGCCGCCGCTTGCCATGAGTACTTCCGTACAAGCATTTGCTGGTCCAGCACTCCGCATTGCTCCAATGCCGAACATGACGTTTTTTCCTGGGCAGGAATTGCGTTTGCCTCAGATGGTGGAAAACAATGAAGACCCTAAGATGACGGCCTTCGCGATTACGGTTGACGCCAAATTTGGCACCAGCACCGGAATCAGCGCAGGCGACCGGGCCACCACACTCCGTGCATTGGCCGATCCGGAGGTACCGTTGTTGCACCGCACCAATTTCAATTTAGTCAGCGGTCGTGTTTCACGCTTTTGCTCAAGCAGAGTTTCGAATTAGGTGCATATGTCGTGGCTAGGTTAACTACACTTCACTACACTGTGGTATGTGTTTTGTGCTCTTTGTGCTCTCCCTGTTACACTACAACTACGTTGTTTATTCCAAGTGTACGTCTCCTTCCATCCGTATCGCCGCAGCTTGCCCTCCTTCCATGATCTCGGTCAAAGCCTATGAGGGTTTTTAGCTTGTCCCATCCTGACCCTCTTAGCCCGGTATTTATGTTGCAGGCTGGACCACGAGACTTCAACCGACCAGGTCATATCTTTCCCCTCCGATACACGGTGAGTCTCATTTCGATATTATGCTCTTTATGTGCGTTTGCCGTGTTTACTCGCCCCTCTTGGTAGCTCTGCTGCCGGGTATGTCAACTCGAGAAGGTTTACCATTCTGTATGTATGGTGACAGTAGTGCCATGTCGTTTTTCTGTTGCGAAATAGCGCAGCATGGATCCACTCTTGCTCACGTCTGCCGTCCGCTCTGGCGTGTTCGCGTGACTGTTGCATCCAGCCTGGAGGCGTGCTTGAGCGGGGGGGGCACACAGAGGCGGCTGTTGACCTGGCAACCCTCGCGGGCTTATCACCGGTTGGCGTGCTGTGTGAGATCACCACCAAGGATGGGAAAGACATGGCAAGGTGTGTTGGGTGATCCGTCACTTGGTGATCGGTATTCTTCCAAGTTGCTGATTGAAAACGCTTCGCACATTTTTTGTGCTTTATTTCAGTTATATGCAAATAGTTTAATGATAATACTTCGAAGTTGTTTGTTTTGGTGTCTCGTTGGAGAAGCAGTTTCCAGAACGTACATGCACGGCACATACGTATCATGTTGGTAGTTATGTTTCGCTTGCTTGTTTTGAGCCATGCCACGATGGTAGAAGTAGTTTGATATCCCTCCCTCGTAACCCAAGACCCACGTCTATATTAGCGACAAGCCTGCTGACGTTGCAAACACTCACTTCTGTTTTGGTCCCCTCTTATGTTGCCCCCGTGCGTGTCGATTTCTTTTCAGGGTGCCTGAACTCAAAGAATTCTGCGCAGAACACGGGCTAGTCCTCACCTCTATCCAAGACATGCGTTGCTTGATACGAGAAAGACAACGAGCTGCTCGTGCCGGCGAGGACCCTGCACCCTACATTGCGCGGTAGCCACGGGCAATCAATTTTTTTGGCTTAAAGCCCTGTACTTGTGGAAGTTGAAGTGTCGCGCCGTGGTGTGCGCCCAGTACCCTTCTCGAAGAGACATCTGGAGAGGGATGATTTTTTACATAAGAGGTGGTATAGCAAAATTTAGAACGTTCCTACACGCTGATTGTTTTGCTTCCACGATTTTCCGGTGTTTCAGAATGGGTACGAAGAAGCACTTGGGAGTAGGACGCGAGTTATCGAACACGCCGTATGACGAACTAGCTTTGGGAATTTGTAGTAATAGACGCAAAACGAGTACCAGTGGTGTGAGTTTTGATATTGAAGCCTCACTTCTAAGGAGAAACACAGGTAGTGCTCCCGCTAACCCTGTGGATTCATTGCTAATTTGTCCCGGACTCTTTATCCATCTGTGGATATACATGTAGTAGATGGATTCGTTGTACTTCCACGTACTTCGTGAATGTGTGTGTGTGTTTATTGTTAGAATCGACCGCGCTAACCGGCTGATCAATGAAAAGACGTCAGTCTCAGTGCGGTTGAAAACACAAAACACTTCTAAATGCCGTGCACTTGGGACCATGTGAGGGGGTTTCATGGGGGGTGTGTGGGTGTGTGCGTCCCATCTATTCTGGTACCGGCGTACAGGCCTTTCGGCGTATATGTACCTAACGGGGTCACACAAGAGCCTATTCCCTTGTTTTGTTTTGTTACATATATTTCCCCACCTCTCCCCCTGCGGTGCTTGCCTTCTAAGAGTTTTTATGTTTTCATCGCGAGAAGGGTTCAGACATGCCTCCCCTTCGTGAGTTGAGACAAAATAAGTGTTTCCACAGTGAGTGGTGATGTGCATGAACAAGAAAAAACCTGGTTTGGGTGTTGGTCTTGTGTCTCCGTCGTTCGCAGGTTTACCGGCAGTGCTTTTTTTTCTCGTTGAAGCGCTGATGACGAAAAATTACAACTATGCGAAACGTTCATGTTCAACGAGAAAATTGAAAACTTCAGAGGTTATACGTCCGTGGGTATGTATGTAGAACGGGGCACCCTCTCTCACTTACTTGGTAAACACTTCGTATGGGCATGCGGACATTCGAATTCGTGCCCTTGACCATACGCGTATGTTCTCTTGCGCTCTTGCGACTTGTAAACAAACGTTTGTCTGGATGCCAGGTCACATCAGGAATAAATACACACACAATCACATTTCACAACAGTGCCAGACCGGCAACGTGAAGCATGCAGCACGCGTTACCCATCGCGTTGCTCGTTGTCTTGCATGCGGTCCAGTTTGTCAGCATTCGCACACCTCCCTCTTCCAAACGCTGCGGAGCATTTCGGGGGCTGCACAGCATGCATGCGTGGTTCGCTCGCTGTGCACGGCAGTTGTGTAGAAGGCCATGGGAGTGAATCCACGGTATCTACATACCGAAGTATCTACACGACGGTAGCTCACTATTTATTACTGCTGTAAATCTCTGGTTGTCTGCGTCGGAATGACAACAGTCCCATCGTACAAGGTACAAAGATCCTATCTATGCTGTCTGGGAAATCGTAGACATACAGGTACTTTCTGACGCTATGAATTCATTGTTAATCTGTCTCAGACTCTTACTCTTTTCTATATGATAGAGATGGATTCGTTGTGTCATAAAAAAAAAAATGTGTGGAACCAATTTTGACATGTAGCGTTCAGAAGGGGTCCCGCACTCTGTACTGCTAAGTACTGCTGTAGTATACATACGTTCATGTACACCAACCATGTTTTCTGTTTATTTTACGGCCGGTGCCCGATCGACGTGCTACAGACAACGGGCGTGCCCCCCTGTGTCGATGAAGCCTTCTAACGTACGATTAGGTCGAGGGACAATGTCGCTCCTCAACACCATTCTACCAGTTGGCATTACCTTTGGCATTGCCCAATGTGGGACTGCTTTCGTCGCGAAGCCGTCCGTTCTCTCTACAAACAAATGTGAGTCTGTTGGAAAACGTGTCGGTTGCTACCGACTCGTCTATATGCTTGTGTGTACGTGCAGTGGTCGGTCGTGTCGTGCGAGTCTTGTTCCTTGAGTCCCGTGTGTTGGTTGAGCGTTGGGCAAATTCTGTACATACATATATATGTAGGACGGCATCATGTTGCTGCGGCCGGCAGTCCAGCACCAAATGTAGGATGTATGCATATGACACATCTAGTACCAGATAGGTGTGTTGGATCGCGTTGGTGGCGTTCTTGTGGGACTGCTGTTTCAACCACTCTCGTTTTCTGTACCTCTACCACCAGTTACTGCGCAACACTGCGGCGGTGCGGTTTCCTGTCGTACTGCTGTATGTTGAACGTTCAACTTGGGACAGACCTTCGACCGAGGACGTTGGGTACATACAATTTACTAAATACATAACTGGTGGGCTGTCAAGTACTTCCCAATAACCGAACAATACATTCGTCGCCTCTTCTTCACGCAGGTGCAAAAGGCTCCCATGCATTGTTATCAGCGCGGACCAGTCACTCGTCGCTTTTCCCTAGTAGATTGAGCGTCCGAAGCGTGAGAACTCCACAAACAATGGTGGCTGAAGAGGAGGCGGATGCACCAACAGAGATGGGTGCATCATTCGAGTCTTCGGCGGATCCCGTGTCTACTGGTGGGGTTTGTGTGGCAAAAAGCGGGCTGTCTCCTGATTTCTCGATGATAACCGATCCCTGGGACCGAGGAGTGCTGTTCTCGGTTAAAGTGGACGAAGTTTTACACGACATCCGCAGCAAATTTCAACGTGTACAGGTAAAAGGGGTAGGGTGATAAATGCGCCGTCGCAGCAACAGGCTGCATCAAGTGATGAAGCAGTTAGTTATTGGAGTACCTGTTTTTATCATATTTCACAATACCTCCCTGCACGGCCGTGCCTTTAGTCAATCCTCTCCACCAATATGTTTATTTGTGTGCTTTGTGGTTGACGCAAACGGGAGTTTCTCGGACCACAAATGAAGAGGTCGTCCCTCGAATATTCTCGATATGCACGCGTAGGTACCCATGTGCACACGTATGCATCGGAGCCGATGGTACCAGTAGTTGCTGGCGTTGTACCCTGTTTACTCTAATGTAGTTTTGTGCATTGGCGAGTCGGTCCAAAGATTCGCCATGAACAGATTACTTAACCTAGCTGTAAGCACTCCGAGCAGCATCAACGAGAGATGCCAGCACAAGAACGGCAGATGGGCACAGAGGCAATCAAACTGGATGTATTGCTGCTGATCAGCCTTGTGGTGTGGTACCACGAAGTTGTTGTTGGCTCTTATTCTCTTGCAGTGCTGTGAAAAACGCATGTGCCCCAGCCCGATACCAAACAGAAACAGGGAGTTTGGTAGACAGCTGTTTTAGTGGAAGTCAGCTAGTATGTTGTTTCGTTGCTGCTGCTTACGTACCTAAATATGCCACCGCTGTGGTGCTGTTGTTGTGATGTATGTGCTATGTGGGTCCTCTGTATGGGAGACGGTCATCGGAGATATCGCGGTCAGTGCATAGCATTTCACGTGCGGGGCGGGCCCTGTGCTTAGTTTCATTCAAGTATCATGGGCTTGGCTGGTATTCATATTTGTTTTCCTCTTTCGCTTTGCTATTCTGCTGGATAGGTGCTCGAAACACCCGCGATGGGTCGCATGTTGGTGCTTGACAACGCACTTCAGTGCGCTGAAAGAGACGAGGCTGGTTACCATGAGTATATTACACACACAGCTCTCTGCAGGAAAGGTGCCGCAGCAGGTTCTGGAAAACGAGCTCTCATCATAGGAGGAGGTTAGTTTAGTGTCATTTTGTGCACTACCTAGCGTGAGACGGAAGATGGCCGTCGCCACATTGCCAGGCACATGTTCTGGACAACAACCAGTCCGCTTATTTTTTGTCCTGTCTTTGTCTCTGCTCCTACAGACATGCCGTCATGTTGAGTTTGTCGTCAGGGCTTGAAACCAAGAAGAGAAGAGCACGGAGATGCTACAGGGCAATTAGGAATTGTGTTGTGTTCCTGCCAGTGTGCCGTCACTTTGTTCGCCTGCAGCCCTCCCTCCCTTGCATACCCCCATGCCCTTCTGTTTTGTGTCCATGTGAGAGGTTGGTTGCACCCCGTTTCCCCCATGGTTTTGCTGACCCCATAGCCCTCCTTGCTCTCGGCTCGTGTTCCTGTCCAACACGTGCGGGTGACAATCAACTCCGACGCAAACAACGCCAACACCATCATCAACAACAATCACGATTTATAAAAAATCGACGCGAACTACAATAGGAGACGGCGGAGCAGCGCGAGAGATCTTAAGACACGACGATGTTGCCAACGTAGACCTTGTAGATATCGATGCCGAGGTGAGCAAATACAACGCGAGCTAGAAACTGTTGGCAACCCGATACCTAGGTCGAAGGGCAGACCCACCGAATTCGGCGTTTTCAGTGAAGGCAGCCTTGAGCATCCAGCTCCAACCCAGCCCAATCTGACCAATTTCAATCAAAACAGGTTATGGCAGCATCAAAGAAGTTTATCCCTGGTATCTGGAGACACCCAACTTCATCCGAAGACAAGTATGTACCGCTGGACAGCGATTCACGACTAACTGTGCGCGCTGAGGACGGCTTAGCTTTCTTGTTGGATGACAGCCGAGAGGGCTACGATATCATTGTGGTGGATGCAAGCGATCCCGTCGGCCCGGGCGCAGCACTCTACAGCGACGAGTTCTACGCTTCATTGCGACGCCGTCTCAAGCCGAAAGGGGCTGTAGCCGTGCAGGTGAGAGCGAATATGTGCATGCAGCATAAGCATAAAATATATCAAGTGTTTACAAACCCCAACTCATTCCCATTCGAACGAATCATGGCCAAGAATGTTGTTTGGCAATCAGCGCCGGTGTCGTCAACGCGTGCACCGAAGGTTCGTCAATAGGCGTGCGACGTTCACAATCCATAGCGTCGCGGACGATCTGGATGATTGCAGCTTGTGCAGTCGCACTCGTCTAATCTAGCCGTATTCGTTGAGGTTTGCTCCAAGATTCGCTCCAAAGGGCGGACTTCAACATTTTCCAGAAGATGCCCACATGAAAAGTAAAACAGAACATTTATTGAGCTTCGTCATGATCAAGATTTGAAATAGAATGGTGTTTTCATAGGCGTCGATGCCGACAGCCCAGAAAAACGCAAGGAGATGATCATTTGAAAGTGACATCGCCCGAGGGATACAAAGATAATGGACAGGAGAAGAGAGAAGAGAAATGCTAGGGCTAAAACACAAGGTGGAAGAGGCACACAGAGGTACGGGAGGTCGCGCAGAGCGAGAGGAACTAATTCGCGAGCACGATGGGGCTTCAGTTCACGGGGAATTTGTCGAAAGCAATGAAGAGACCAGGGTGCATAAATGCGCTGATGTGAAAAAGCAGAGGAGAGTAGACCTCTGACCACGGGAAAATGTTGATCGTGCAAGGAGAACCAGGGTATCTTCCGAGAGTGACATGGCGTGGGTTTGTGGCATCACTTGGCCCCCTGACACAAAACTCTCTTCAACCGAGGACGCACCTTGTGACAGGCAACTTAGAAGCTCAACCATGACGTCGCGGGCCAACCTGCATGTCGTTAACGTGCGCTCGAATGTTGGAGCTGCCTGTATCAGGAATAGCCAAATCACCTAGGCTAGCGTCAAGCAAGTACGCTCCCTACCCCTATTTCCATCCTTGTCTGTTGCAGGGCGGCTCCTTCTGGTACTTGCCACTTGTGTTCCGGACGGTTTTTCACGGTTTGAAGAAAGCCTTTCCTGAAGTGCGCGCGCTTCAGTGGTGAGTACAAACTGCAACCCAGAGTTGTTGACGCCAGTTGGGCAAGGAAGGCTGTTCTCAAATATTTTGCCCGTCGCCAGTGATGGATTCGTTAGCTGCACTAATCACTAACGATTGTCATTTTCTGTGTATTCCCTTGGCCGGCTGAAGTTTCACAGCGATTTATCCCGGTGGCCTGTGGAATATTCAGCTCGCGACGTTGGGGGACGATCCACAGGACGTTGACCTGGAGAAGGCTAACAAACTGTGCAACAGGTAGGTAACCGAGCGTACCGGAACAGAGCGCCATCGAACCTAACACATTTCCTCTCTGCAGAACAGTAACCGCACGTACGTTTCTTTTCGAGTACGGTCTGCGTTGAAGTACAGACGACGCCCACACGTGGACTTGGAATGGAATCTCCTATCATGTGCTTCAAAGCATCGAGCAACGGGGCACGGACATGCATGTATCTGCCCCGTTATTTGAACTACACATGCTTCGATAGGTGGAGTGACGACTCCGAAGTGTAACTGATGAATTCATTTTGGTCTTTGCGAAGAAAATGGCAACTCGTTAAACAACGTTGATATCGGAGGAAGCCGTTCTCAAAAAGAGAATAATTTGGAAAGAGAAGGTATAGCTGTTTTCCCTCCTGCTGACCTTTCTTACTATACTTTCCGGTCTGTTTCTCATTCTCTCGTTGCTTCAACAGCCACAAGCTCGCATTCTACAGCCCCCAAGGGCACCACGCGGCCTTCGCTTTACCTCCGGTTGCCTTGCAGGAGCTGGCAAAGCCTCGACCAAAATTGAGCGAAACTCAGGCCGATCTAGAATCGATCATGGCTTACGGAGAGGAGAATGAGGATACGAAAGGGACGCCCGCACACATATGTGACAGCTGTTGGGAGCCAGATGTGAGGTCCGGTGGACACCCGCCACATCCGTGTTTCGCGTGCGTTCAAGATGATCAGATAGATACACCTAACAAAAGGCTTCTAGGAACCACCCACGGCTCCAGGAGGAAACGTTTTGTGACGTTGCCTTGGCGCCAAGACAGGGAAGCATGCGTGGACGTGTTGATGAGTATTCGTGGCGTCTACTGCGGACTTTCCCTGCTGTTGATGGACAGGTTCGACGATCACTGAGCCGGTTGGTGAGCGGTGCAACCGACAAAGATGTTCCACTTGCCGCTTTCGACGCGGATGGCACCCTTTGGGATGGAGATTCCGCTGAAATATTCCTGGAGTGGATGGATACGTCAAACCGGTGGAGTCAACATGAAGATTTCGTTGCAAGGTGTTAGTCATCTACTGTCTGATCCGCTTGCACGTGTCTTGCATGATTTTGATGCGTGTTGGGACACGGTCTGGTCGTGGTAGTTGACGGCGATTCAGCATTTTCTGCCTGCCTGCCTGCCTGCCTTCCTGCCTTCCTGCCTACCTGCCGTCAAATAATTGTCCAACCTGGCGACCTCCGTATCGTGTACTGTCCAACCAGATACTATGCACTCCTGGCGAGCGGCGATAAAAAGGGGGCGTATGGGTTAGTCGCACAGCTGTTCGACGGCATGCTTGTATCCGAGATATCGAAGCTTTGCGAGGAATGCTTTCAGGAAAACGTGGAAGACCTTGTAAGTAACCTGTCTTCTGTTTGTGCATGCTTAAATCACCAGACAATGCCCTGTTGCTAAACTCTACTAGGCCACTTTTGCGTTCTTGACTGACAACCTTGCTCACATGGGAGGACATCTAATCGCTGTCCAAACGAGCATTACGGCACCTGAGGGAAGCAGTGTCGTGCAATTGCGTCAAGTTAATATTGTGCCACCTCCCGCCCTGTGGCCCACCGCACACGTTGGTCGTGCCTTGCTGCACGCGACGGCCTTCATTTCATCGCCAGTAGAATTTGTGCGAATCCGGTGCCAGCAACGGTTCGCTGTACAGGTTGCTGCGTGTGATTTTCTGACACATGTTGAATGATTTTCTGACACATCATGCATCCGAGGCACAATAGGAGAAGCTGTCGTGCGCGACACCGTCACCGTTTTTCATGTCACAGTTTGTCGGTACCTGCTGATACTTGACGAGGGACATCGATCTCTGAATTCTTACCATGCGGTGCATGGGCTACGGCGAAATTCCTACTAGCGTACGCGCAAGTAAGGCTACGAAACCCAATCGGGAGCGGGTTGTGTGAATATTAGCGTTTCACAGACCAGTGCAACACCAATAAGAATCTGAGCAAAGCTCGAAAGCAAAAACCAAACATGAGGACAGTCTGCACGAGTTTGATTTTTTGTCCAGGATACTTGTCGCCAGTACGTGCTGTGATGAATGTTGACTGCTCGCCCATTTCCCATCTTCGTTTCGACCGCCCAAAAGGTGATTTCTGAGATGGCAGAATTAGTGCAAGATCTACGCGCCCGAGGATGGCGTGTGATTATCGTCACGGCAAGCCCGACATGGATCGTAGAACCCGGGGCACGCCGTTTAGGGCTCGGACCTGAAGATGTCTTGGGTATAGAGGTAAGCCATAGCAGGTGTTGCACGAGGTATACGGATGTGCGCTAATGATGGTATTGGTTGGCGTGTTCGCCACACCATGTACCCAGTAGTCAAGCCCACACGGAAAGAGGACGTTTTCAAGTTGCGCCTAGAGACGGGCTTGCGCCTTGGCGAGAGAACCTGTGCCGTCTGGTGCATCAGTACGCCAAGCCTCCCTCACGGAATTGACTGTCTGCAGGTTGAAGTATCACAAGGGAAGGCGACCTCAGCCCTCCGACATCCTCTCCCCGTCCAAGAGGGGAAAGTTGAAGCGCTGCAGATGGCTTTCAACAGCACTCGCCCGACACTCGCTGTGGGAAACTCGCTGGACGACGGCGCAATGCTAGGCTACGCGCGAGGATTTGCGCTCGTGAGTAATCCGAACAGTGCGGAACTGGAGTCGCTAGCGAGGGACAGCGGCTGGGGCATTCATCGTCTTGAAGTGGAGAGTGCGACGTTGGAAGTGGCGTGAACCACTTTGCTTATGAGACACTCACTAGCTAGGGTGCCTGGCATGCTACTTGAAGTAGCAACTTCACAAGCTACGAGTTCCAGTAGGTATACATGTAGTATTCGTGAGCCCCGATCGTGGACCGCCCCCGCCCACATGGCGCTTGTATCGAATTCTGTAACGGTGTGGGCCCTGCTCGGTGTGGGCCCTGCTCGGTGGAAACGACAACGGGGATTTTGACTGCATTGCTGAGAGGGATCCTAAGCAAAGACGATGCGGCCGGGTAGGTATAACTGCGACCGCAGCCACCTCGGTATATCGGCAGGCAGGCCTTGCTCATTTCCACCTCTGTTGGAATATAAATGGACAACCGTTGGGAACACGGTGCGAATAGAATGATGGGGCCAATATAGCAGAAATTGAGTATTCTTGGGGTCGGCAACATATGTACGGTGAAGCTTGGTGAATTTTTGGGGCGGCTTGGGCTGGTTTGTGTCTGACACTTCAATTGTTGGTGTTAAGGGTTTACCTTATTGTATAGATGGAGACAGGGGAGTAGTTTCGAGCCTTCGAAGTAGCAATAGTGATGGCCGCACTCATTCTCAGGTTAACGATCACTCTCGTAACTTTAGAAATGGAGTGTAGATGTGTTGTACCATGTAACTGTGTTATTGGAACCCTATGGGCAATGGACATTATCTGTCAAAATGCACTCGGCCCTTTTTTCCGAATGATGGTCATAGATGGATGGTATGCATGCACATATATATGCTATTCGGACAGGTTCCAGCCCTTGAATCCATCATGGCAGACATATTGTGCATCAAACTTGACTAGAAGTAGAAAGACCCAGATTGTTGACAGAAGATTGAGGTTCATTCTTTCGTTCTGTAGAAGGTATAGAAAGTATACATAGAACCACAGGGTACCGTTGCCAACTTCGCCCCTCCTTCTGAGAAACCCCAAACAATCCAGCTTGACCGCCCTAGACTATACTGCTGTGCGCACCTACTTTACTGTGTACAAGCAGGGCCTCATCACACGGTCGCGTGATAAATCAGGCCCAACAAAATCGATGGCATGTACCATTTTTCTTGCGGCAGTGGTAGTGGTATATGTCAGCAACACGCTCCCTTTTATTTCTCTCCGAAATCTATGGTACTTCATAGCATCACCCCTTAGTCTCGATTGAGGTCGACCTGCGTGGTTTCACTCCATTCACTGAAAAGCAATGAAGGCGGGACGTTGTCTTCGGGTCGTGTCCCTTTCTGTGTTCAAAGTACGTTTTTCTGCATTCTAAACAGACGAATAGCTGTCGCGGGGATAACGCTATGAGTTCATTGCTGAATAATCTCGGACTTAATCACTGGTATAATTTATGTGAAGACAACAACAACACTCATCAGTGGAGGTGGATACTGGCTGCAGACAGATGATATTCTAAAAAAGAAAGAAAGTGAACTCAACACAAGATGTGACCGTTACTCGTTTAGTTGCGCCGCCTGTGGGTACACGCGATACGGTGGCGAACCACTACCCAGAACGCTGCAGGTACACTCGCAGTCTCTCACTCTATTCGCCTACTGGTATCTGGGAAGGACCTGTGTGAACTAAGGAGCATGGATAGAGGGCGACGCGCCATGCCGGTGCAGAACAAGGCCTGCTACGAAAGACACGTCAAGAAGTGCCAAGACAACCACCGGGATAGATTAGCGAAAATGAAGCCAACTATCGATTGCCACGCTCCCTCCAGCATGCGAAAAGTGGCCACCAAGACAAACGCCAAGAAGCAGCAGATTATGGTAAGCCATCCGGGGAACCCTCGCCCGGCTCACCGAATTTCAAAGAGTAGATCGCTGTATACAAAGTTCGGGTCGACACGCACGGGTAACAACTCTCATATGCTAAGAGCGGAGAAAGCAGTAGACTACAGCTTGTAGCTGCAGCCGAATCGAAGCGAAACTCCGTGTGTGAAGATACATGGTCTGTACAGCAGTAGTCTACAGCAGTACCACGCTGCAGCTAAGACTATATGCGTATAGCGCACGTATTGCCAACCCAGCACCTTCTGATCCTTTCATGCGGGACTACATGTGGCAACCACCAACCGCTTGTGCACGCTTCTGTCTACGATAGGAGGATAGATACGCTCAGATCGAGCGCGACAATCGACTTCTGCTGGAGAAGATGTCTCACATCATGCGTAAAGGCGGTGTGGACAACCACAATAGCACGTCCAAGTACTCTAAGTCCCTCAACAAAGGCGCACGCAAGAAGGAGCTACACAAAATCACAACAGAGAACCAGGTGGGTGTATTCTGGCTATGATTGCTTGTAGTTAGGCCATCTATGTAGCCGCTGACCAATGAAGCCGTTCTCGAAGGCAATGTACAGTCACATGTGTATGCATAGATGTGTACCTTCACGGTTCACAACTGGCGGAGCCGGCGGCACCGTTCGCCATATCAATAACCAATAACTCATCAACCCCCCCATGATGCATGTGCCCACAACCCCGGTCACAATTGCGCGAAAGATGCAGCGTAAAAATCCAGGTCATTCTCCTCTGATCAAGGTTTGACCCAGGAGATGTTTTCTAGCACCAAGTGGTTCGGCATCACTTTGATTTTCTTGCTGATGCGATGTGCGATGATTTACTCACTACATACCTAGGCCGTGTCCCCGGTTTGGTTTTCGTTACCCCTCTCCACTTGCTGGAGCATGGGCAATGAGAACCCGCTGTGTGAGCTGTGTGTATGGTGTGTCTCGTGTGGTGGTTGATGGAGACCGGGAGATGATTCTCAGAGATTGAGTTTGCAATTGTGGAGACCAAGCGAAAAAATATCCGCCACGGCTGCATCCAGCTCTCTCGGCTAATTTGCCGCACGCATCGAATTGGTGTCCACCGAGCCCGACCGAATGAAGAACACCGGCTAGTCGATGATACCCACTCTGAGCTGACCTCATGGCACACCTCGAGTGACCAACGTTCGAGAGGTTCAAGTTTGTAGGTGACCCTCTCGTTGGGACATAGCGACTCGGTGGGCTGAACAGCAAAGGGCAACAACAGTTTTTGACAGGCTTACCCTGTCCTAAACTTCCCCACAAAAGGGCAGGATGGGGCTGTTGAAAAGCGCTGCCCAACTTGATGATCCAAAAGTGGTATTTGTTTGACAGGGTAGGAAAGGTGGGGGTCAGTTTTTCTTTGTTGCCAATAAAGTTGCGCTTAGACCTCTCAACACGCGTGTTGGCAACCATGCCTCCGGGTTGTAGCCCACGTTGAAGGGCTCTACCACCTCTATGTAGCTTATCTCGCGCCGCTTGGAGTCTAAAGATCCGGTCTTCAGCCTAATGCTGAGTGACGCCTGAGATGCTGAACGGTGGCGCATCCTACATTTGTAAAGGGTCGCACTTTCGTTCTTTGGGCTCCCGGACGGCAAGAATATACGCAGCGCGCCCCGCGCGTATCACGCCCTTCAGTGCGCTGTGCCAAGAGCTACCCGCGCTGGATCACCCGGCATAGCGAGGTTCCATTTTGCGTAGAATCGAAGGTTCGGGTTCTCTGACGTCAATTGCATACTAGACATTATCCGATGTGTGGTCTTTTTTCGCGTGCTCTCGAATGTTACGAACTCCATTTTTGAGCCTCCCAACACTTGCTGCATCTATAGATATAACAGACCACGAGAGGCACGATACACACAGCTACGGGGGGTGGCTTTGTCGTTGCTGTTGCTTCTTTCTCTGGAGAAGTATGGCCGAGAGGCCAAATGGTGGACGGCAAAAAACTGCCCACGGTGGTGGAACGTCTTGTTTTAAGCCCTTGTCAACCCTCGCCAATTATTTTTCTGAAACTCCTAGTGCCTCGCCGTCTCTAACGACGATCACACGAAAGGAACCACACACAGCCACGGTCAGGTAGCTTTATCATCGCTGTTGCTTCAGTCAGTGGAGAGATATCGCCGAAAAACCAAAGCGGCGACCCGGGCCAAAATGCTGCGACATTAGTAGAACATAGGCTGTGCATGGTCTGTCTTTATGTGGTGTACACGACAACAACATTTCTGCGTGGCATCATTGCGTCCCCATTGTCACGAAATAGACAGGCGCTGTTGTTTCCGTTCGATTCTCACTTATGGTTTGTCGCTACCATCGAAGTGTGCCACTACACCGAGCGGATTCGTGCCTCAAACAACCCCGCCAATACCACACCACCCTACACACAATTGACATCTCCTCACAAGCATACACGTGTATCTCGCAACACTTGCCGTTCAAAACTAGGAAACTACAAGACGCCTTACACCTCAACCTACATTTTACCCTGCAGGCAATACGCGAAGACCGGGACCTCGTAGTGGGGACGGGCGAAGTAGCCTTTGTATTTCATTCAACTACCACCCCATGTATTTCATTCAACTACATAGCGTGTTTGCAGCTGATTGGTGTTTGCTTGCTACAGCAGTACTTGTAGTGCATACTCTTCGGCAATCCTTACACTACTGTACTTGTTCCGGAGTACGACGCACGAAAACACACCGCGGTGAAAAACATATTGGCTTCTACAACAAAGATCATCGGGTGTGTTTTTATTTGGGCGTGTGGTATCTGGTGTTGTATACGGCACGTACACGTACGCCCGATCTGTTTTTTATGCAGTTCGCCGAGAAAACTCACGTTATTTCCACGCATTTCCTGCCGTGTTACCCGTGCATTGTTCCAGCGCATCCTCCATGCAATCCAGCAGGCGGATCCCTTTTACGACCACATCAAGTGGGCTGAAGAGGCGCAACAGAACGAAAAGTACATGCGCAATATTTGCACGATGCCAGTTCGTCTGAGGGAGGAAGATACGGACGACGAGGGGATGTACGCTGGCGAGGGATAACGGCATGGCCACCTTTCACCGTAGGACGAAGCGAAGAGGCCTTAGAGCGTTTTTACTGTGCGGCGTGTTCGCGAAATTTGTTTATTAGTTCGATTCGAACCCTGCCCCACACAAAATGCAGGCCCGCTCTGCCCCTTGCTCTCTGTTTTGTTTTTTCAAGGGCATTTCGCCTAAAAAAAAATCAAACAACCGCCTAGCCCGTGGGATGAACGTGCCGTACGCGGAGAAGGGAGTTAAGGTCAACATTTTTTTGCATACGCGAGTACTTTTATGTGACCCCAGGGTTAATTTGTAGCCCAGGGTCGTCCGAACTCTAGCGATGGCACTCAAAAATTAGTTCTGCCGTGCCGGACCTCGGCGACATCTGCGAACAAGCTTCTGAGAACTTTGGGAGTTGTAGTTATTCTGTGTTTCGTGCTGGATGACTGTCCTTTGTGTTGGGGGTTTGGTGTAGAGAGGGCATGGAAAACTCAGGTTTCGATTTAATTATCTTCTTGGTTTCGCTCTGTTTGGCTCTCTTGTTCCGTTTCGTCTGATTTTTGTAGTCTTGATCGGTAGTCTTGATCGGGAGTATTTCTTTTTCGCTGTACCGTCTTTGAACATACGTTCCTGTGGAGCTTTGCAGTCTAAGTTGATACAAAGCTACAAAGCGACAACACCCCACCCACCAACAAACCACCACCAACAGCAAGCAATTTCTTGGCCCAACGGCTTCAAAACGCACGTGGTGCTTTTCAGTTTTTTGGGTTTCCACGGCGGCGGCGTACGGACGGGTGAAACAATGAGAGACAGAAAGGGCTTTGACCCAAGGAACCGGTATGCATAGACTGATTTTATATTTTTAAGTAGTGAGTGAGTGTGTGGTTTGTAATGTTTTCTCGTTGTAATAGCGTAATAACCCAGGAGCCAACATGACGGTGTTTGGGACTCAGTGGCGGGGGGGGGGGGTGAACTCAAGTAAGGGTGGCCGCTGCATTATCTATGTATCCACTGAGCCGACCGGCGTACATCGACCGCAGGATACTGTGCTCAGTGGACCTCTGGTCCGGTGAGCAACTTCCTCCTTCCAAGATACAACGCATTTGAACAAATGACTGTACTGCTGTAGACTACTTTTTTTCTATGTGAAATATATTTTGATTTGTTTCCTGTGCTACAGCAGTACCGGCCCGCTGTTCAATAAAACATCAATTCCTTGGCCGAGCCTCAGTTTCTTCTTGTTTCGTCGCCAGCACCGTCGAACATGTACAACTGCTGTGACTGGTAGACATTAGAACCCCACACCCCACATACATGGTAGCCGGAAACATTGCTGTGTGGCCGTTTCCTGCTGTATGCATATTATTATAACCCAGGGCAATTGCCCAGGCTATTGTAATTCGGCAAGAATTGCACTGAAAGGTTAAAAGACGTACAGTATGATACAGTCAATGAACGCCCAGAATTAGCTAGAAAGTAACGTGTGCTGTGCTGTGTGAGTACTCCAGTGTACTCCCTCCGGGGCCCGGGGCCCCCCTCCTACCGAGTCTCTCAGGTTCGCAGGTTCTCTTTAGAACCAAACGCCGACGTATTGATCCCATATAAGACGCAAACTGCAGTTTTGCACACGTGAACACCACCGCCACACCGCCACCCACAGGGCAAACAAGGAAGGCCTTTCCTCTTTCTCGGGCGTGGCGTGGCATGGCTTGCGTACACTTCGCGGCGTGTGCGGCTATACTCTGCATCAGCGCTCAGAGCTTCATTATTGATCCGTCGGCATCATCATCAACAGTACATGTTTCCCGCTGCCAGGCTGCCCGTTTATCATGCAGGGAGACTGAGCTACGATCAAAACCAAGAGAAGACGCTCTATCACTACCCATCTCCATCGCAGTATTACGCGATGTGCAATTGGAGAGGGCGGTGGAGGTAGTTCGTGCTCTGTACGAGGAAGGGTTCAATATGATCTCGGTCACCGCAGACACGAAGAATTTCAGCAAGATACTCCGGTCCATCCCCAGAAGTTTCTTTCCGGACTTGCTTCTTGGTGCATCATCCGTCACGACTCTGGACGAGGTGAAACAACGAGTTGTCAAGTTTACATGGACGGGTTGTGTGGGGGATATCATGATATCCACAAGACTAAACAATGCAATTATGATTGCGCGGCTGCAAGAGGGTTTTGCACTGAATGAACTGACGTGAGCTGGAGACCTGCAGACTTTAGACAACATGTACGTGCACATCAACCTTTGCTGTAACTCTCTACTGCTGCCGTGCTCTTGCTGAGGACTACACATCTGTGTACACATTTGCAATAGGATTTAATCGAGAGGTTTTGCTCAGAGGGGGAATGCAATACATGTAACGCCTGCTCCCAGAACATTGACACCCCGTTTGATCGATACCGCAAAAATAGGTGGACGTGGCCTTTGCTTGCGCGGTAAATTTTGTAAGCAGCACTTCCTGCGATCCTGCAATTGTGAAGCGAACGAGGGATCTGGGCATGGTAAGCATACCAGGAGTATCGACTCCTGCCCAGGCAGCATCGGCAGTCCAAGCCGGGGGGGGTATACTGAAAGTTTATCCAGCTACCAACGTCTCGCCAAATCAGTGTCGAGATATTGTAAATGCGATCAAGACGTCCAACATCCCGGTGGTGATCAGCGGAGGCGTTGAACCTGACCAATTACAAGCGTACGTCAAGTCCGGCGCATCCGGATTTGCTGTCGGTCGAACGCTGTTTGAGCCTGAGAAAAGCTCAGCCGAAATTGCAGACAGAGCCCGATGCTTTTTGCTTTCGTGGCCTCAAAAGAGACGACGGCATCGCAACGTAGTCGAATCGGAGGATGCTGGAGCTTCCTAGGCACGACCCGAGCCTGCTACGTAGAATCACGACGGTGAGCAACCACTGGCGCCTTCATGAAAGGGGGGTCGCAAGGGAGGAATCTTTATTCCAGTCGTGGCATACAGTACGGGCCCGCAGTTTTAAGAAATATTTTGTTCAGAAGCAGAGGCCCACATGTCCACGAAGAATATGAAAAATGGGTTAAGAAACACACCTCCATGGTGGATCCCTGTATGAGGTACAGGAGATGGTACGGTAATAATATATAACAACCTGTTCTAGACAGCGGTGACGAAATTAGAAACTGAGCCTCGACCCGATTTTGACGTTTGTGTTCTCCGGGCCCGTACTACTGTATAGCGAAGGGGATTCAAGACGAAAGGGTCAGGGTTGTGGCAGAGGCGTGCCATGTGGCAGCACAACACGCCGTGCCCGGTTACCATTTCCCGAGTCCTCTTTTTCCGTTTTAGCAAGAACGCAGTGGTGAGTGGTATGCGGATACCGGCTTGTGGGGTCTCGTCGTGGTTGTGCCTAGGAGAGACCCCGCCAAGGTCGCTCTTCACTCCTCATGACTGGAAGGCATCGGCACAACCGAGACCCTGGAGATTGGAGCCCGAGCGAGTCATCCCAGAGGACAACCAAGCAAGTTGGACGTAAGATATTTTTTGGTGTGCGTTGTACGATAGTTCGGGCGCGTAATCTATGGATGAAGATTGTCTAAAAGCCGATGGTAGGCATGCAAGGCAAAATAGAGTTTCGGCAGTCCAAGGCTGTATGTCGAAGGCCCGACCAATCGGCAACGGAGGGGAACCGTGGGTAGGATTGCGGTTGGGCGATGAGGGTCGTTCATGTCCGAATCCGTGTGTGTCGATGACCCTCCGCGATTGGAGAGCTTGTGTTTTATCTGACACAATCGTTGTGTGAGTGATCGGGAGTACGAAGAGGACAAGTTGGAATGAGGCATACATATCATAGGCCGGTTAGGAAGTCGACAGGCTGTCTTGCGTACAATCATTCCCGCGGGGAACGGCTGCCGGTATTTGTTGTATTTTGGTATTTTTCTTATCTTGCCTTCAACTCTGGTGAGATGGGAAAATAAACACAGGTACCCGTAGGTTGCTTTGCGGGTACTTATCCACCGATAGTGTGGGAGGATACGTGCGGTGGTAGTTTGTAACATACGTGGTGCAACTGATTACGGGCGCCTTCCCCGTGGTCACAGGCCGTCTTTTTTTTAGTTCCACAGGAGCAAGACTAATGGAGACAAGTGGACAAGGAGACACACCACTCATGTATAGTGGGAACGTGGGGAGCCCTCGACACTAGAAGGACAGTAAGGTCTGTACAAATGTATTGAAGTTGAGTGGATCATTGTGCAAAAAATGATTTGATCACCAACAAGCACTTCATCCTACCTGCTATCCAACGCTTGAGGTGAGGCTTGTTGACCACACGTTGTGCCTTAGGTGTTCGAGGACGCGCAACACCATATGGCCCGACCGCGGCACAGACCGGTACCCAATGATCGGCTTGTACAGATCACGGGACGTAGACCAATGCCCATGAAGGCGACCGAGGCACCAAAGAGCACACATGGTGCCGTAAAAGGACAACGTACCCCAGACGAAACTCAGGTGTTGCCGAAAGTGAGCGATGTGATGCCGGTGGACAGCATATAGTCAAATACGCTCAGGGGAGCCTGAATATTGAAATATGCCCTACTTCAAGCACACGACGTAAACTCGAGCAAGCTCCTGTAGGTCAGTGGCCGTCAAGAAGCTCCCTGGCATCGCAGCCGCGAGAGAATCGCTGACAGAGGCCTGCTTCTTATCACTATTGGATACTGAGCTGGCGCTCTTTCCGGTTTGCTCTGCCGCGGCCCCGTCTTTGTCCCGCCCTTCTCGCAGTGCACCAACTCGGACAAGGCCGTCGCGTGCACTGCTACTCCTCTGGGGGTCGGTCTTGCTTGAACTGGACACAGAATACGGGAAGGGTCATTCAATCACCGCCAGAGAAGCAAACACAGGGGTGAACGTGTTGCATGTTCCAAGGCACAGGCAAGGGGTGGGAGGGAGGGCACTATTGTGTTGCCTGCTTCGCTCGTTTGAGCACACACCCTTAATTGACATGGGAAACCACGGCCGTTCGTACCATCCTTCACATGAGAATTTCGCTAGTACTTCCCCCTCCCTTCCGGTAGCTCATGGGCACCCTTTTGCCATCCAGTGTAGAGATCGTAGCATCACCACTTTAAGCACGCTCACAATAACTTCCCTTTTAGTTTGCACACACCAAGCTATGAGGTAGATACAGCTTTCCACCGTCTTCCTATTTATCCCAGGTCTTCATTTCATGCCTTAGTCTCATACCGCGGACTTTTCGTCCATTCCTCTCTCTGTTTTCCTCAGGTTCCTTGCACGCTCTGCCAATTACTGGATCCTACTTCTATACTGTAACTAAGCTTGTTGTTTCTACGCTTGCTTCCACAGATCCTTGCCAACAATGAGAAAAGACATCCCTTGCAAGGTGCGGGGTGGGGGGTGGTGGCTACAGCGAGTGCTTCGCAAGTTGATACACTTGGGGAATTCACCTCGGCATGGATGACGGGTTTCCAGTGCTCCTGCCCAGAGTCCCCTCGAACTTTCCAGCTTGCAGCCTCTTGACCACCCTGTTAACTCTGTCGAGGGTTGCACTCGGCAAGAACCGGTACAACGCATCCCGGAGAAACTCCGCCTGTAGGTCAACGCGCCAGCTACAACCGTCAATACAGGATTGGCCGCAAACGCTCTGTTCACGCCAAATGAAAAAAAACAAAAAAGCGACTACCATTCAAATGGTGCAGCAGTGACTGGTACGGTGTGTGTTGAACGGTTAAATCCGTCGTGTTACCGTTCGGAGTGACAGCTTGTGCTTTGGACACTGAAGGAACCCCGACGTGGTGAAACAAATCTGGTACCTACTGCGGTGCCCCGTATTTTGTAGAGCACCCTTCGAAATTGTCGCATTCAACACATGAAGCAATTTTTCGAGGTCACATAGTACTTGCTGGTGCGAGTGGTCATGTCGCCCTCAACTGCACCTGAGCAATCTTCTCGGCTTGTTCTACGGGGTCTGATCCGTCGAGAGGTTTCGCGCCGAGGTGGCCCTCGCCGACGACACGCGCGTTCGCGCAGTCACAGACGATTTCCATCACCTGCAATTGCAGCAAGCACCGGGAAAAAAAGTAACATCATCAGGCGCCACCGAGTCGCTGGGATAGAGCCGTTATTGCATACCTGGTAGTACTATAACTCTTCAAAACATTAAGGTGTACTCGAAAATCTACTAGCACAGGGGAGCGAGTTCGATTCTCTTCAAGTGGAAAAAACACCTGCAACTTGCAATTTGCCCGTGGAAAACGATTACTTCGTGGGCATACACACCTCGACTTCACGGTCGACCAATGAAACGGACTGCTAAACCCTTTATGGTGGGGCAATATAAATTACAACAAAATATAGCTCCTGTGTCACTCCGGCTGGGTACGTCAAATACACCGACAGGTATACTGGCGCCAGAATAGCGGCGACGAACACATACACACACACAAACGTAGCCTTCGTAGACGTGTGCAGTTTTCTTCTGTTGCTATCGTTCTGTCTTTAATCCGGAGAATAGGTTAGTCTCCCCCATGCCGCCCCCTCACGGGGTCCCAGTATATGGCATTTCGAAGTGTTCTTGGTTTTCACCCGCACTGAGACTGACGTCTTTTCATTGGTCAGTCGGCTAGCGCGGTCGATGCTAATAATAAAAACACACACAACTCGAAGCGAGGTTTGATTCACGGGCTTTTCCCGCCGGCAGTACAATGTACAGGAACACTGTTCGAAAATCTTGCCATCAGTCACCGTTGGCAACACTCGCCTGTCTAGCGCTCTCCCTGAGCACAAAGTCGGCGTAAAGGATGTCCTTCCGCATCTTGCCATCGTGCATACCAGCCTTGCGGTACAGCAGCCCACGCAAGGCTTCCTGCAGGCCGAAGAGGGGGGGTTGGGAGTTTTGATGCAGGTATTGCTAGGGACGTCTGAACCTTGAAAACAAAGTAAGGTTGTCGCGTTGTATGTTGGCCATACCCCAGCAAAAAACGTTCAGACCTGGAATGAAAGCTTCAGCGCGCGCGGGGTGAGCATGGGACTGCCGTAAGAACATATACACCAACGGGCGTAGGTGTGGGGTTGGTGATGTGGTGACGGCTTTTGTTGAATGTCGTTGACCAGAGCACGCTGACTTCGTGTCTTGGAATGTGCATAGAGCAGGCGGTGCTCGTCATGCGATCACCCGTGCTCTGAAAGTTTGTGTTGTTGAGCTGCATCAAATGCGAACGTTCACTTCGTCTGCCCTCAAATAGGTAACTTGTAGAGGGAACCTGTACGATGTAAAACTGGCAGATCCAGTGCGAAACACGCGTCTCCCAAGGCAGCGGGCACAAAATCGTCGTAGCGTATTGTGCCAGAACTACAATATCTGTGAATAAATGGCGCTGCGATCTTGGCAGACGTTCCACATCATTCATAGCGTTTCTCAAACGAGTATGCCTACTACCGACCTTTTGTTAACACACTTTGTGCAGGGATTTAATCCAAAACACGGGCAGGCAACTAATTCATTCAAGCCATGAGTGCAGGAAGAGGGGCAAAACATGTATTTCCCAAGGCACTCTCAGCATGGAAGCGTAGTTCGGTGCCATCTTGTGAACACATATTTGGAATGCCGAGTGTCGTACAGAGACTATTGTACAGAGGATCACACCTGGGCCTCCAGTCGTGCTTGGACTAATGACAGCAACACCTTCACCAGGTAGCTAGGCAGAGACTGTGGCTTCGGCGTGCGCATTGAAATATTGAGGGCAGCCTTCAGCCCCGTCCTGCGGTTCACTACAGAGCCTCGCCGTGTGTTGCTTCCATGCGCTGACGAGGTGTCACCCTTGTTGTCTTCACTCCTGCTGGAGAGCATGGAAGCCTGCGAATTGGACGAGATGAGGTTAAAAAGGCAGTAGAGAGAGATTTCGCAATGGCGGTGTAAACTGACACGCTTAACGAGCGTCTGAGGCAGTAAACATCGTCACCTGAAAGTATCCCCAAGTGTTAGAAAATGCTCAGCGGGTCTGAGAGAAAACAAGCAGCATGGTTTGGCATACCTGGCGTGCCACAGACGCGGTGGATCCTGCTGAGGCATACGTGAACGTTCCACGCTTCAACCGCAGCGAGGTCCTGCCATGTGGTTGCGACAGATACAGTACAGGCAGTTGGGTCGGCAACGACGTGATGACTAGTCAACACACAGGTTTTTGGTAACTTGGCGTGTTTCCTCGACAAACCGTGCTCACAATTTTTTCTTGACCACTAACTCGTCGACGTCTAGCGTGAACTTTCGCATTGAGCATGAAGCATGGCATAGGATATCTCGCTGAAGTCAACCTGCTGCATGGTTTTTTCATTGAGCTCCCAATTGGCCTCCCGGTAACTACGATTGTAGGTTACTGTAGGCTAGACTGGCTAGCGACAGGTGAGGCAGCCTACTCGCCGGGACACCCATCCATCGAACGTGTCCTCATGGCTCACCTCTGTCTGGAGATGGAAGTGCTGACTCGCTGCTGATCTCGCATGCTGCTCGCTCGGTCACTGGTGTGTTCAATGGTGAAGAGCGCGATACGGTTCAAACGTCGATTTCATGTTAAAACCTAGAGATTGATACCCCTGGTGCCACATAGGGGCTCGTGCTCTGCACGGTTACGAAGCGTGTGCACAGCAACGAAGCTAGCATGCAATGTGACAAGACCAACCTGCGAGATGGATCCATCACGCCCTCGGACGTATTGCCATGCTGTCGGCCGGATCGAGGAGCTGGCCTTGCGTAGCCCCACCAGCCATTCTTGACATACATCTTGAGCTCGCGGTACTTGTGCTTGAGGTACTTATTCATTACCTGGACATAAAGACGAGAGAGAAGTTGAACCTCTCTGCTCAAATCTGTGGGAAATACAGCAGTTGAGCTATCATTCCTGAAAGCGCAAAGCAAGGGCCTTTTCCTGACCCGAGTTTTGACCCTCACCTTCTCTTGCACCTTTTGGGTGCGCTTGCGGTCAGAAACGACACCCGCTCTACTTGCGTCGAACAGGTCCACCGCGGTATCCCATAACTCCGGCAGAACCACCTGCAGGCAAAGCATGTGGTGCGAGATATGGTATTTTTCCAGACCTGGCGGGGGAACATTTTTCGCTGTGCCAACGTTCGTCTTGACGCTATCTGATCTCAACAACGGTCGCCCCGGTGGTCTAGTTGGTAACCTCGAAACCTTCTAGAGGTCAGGTCAGGGGTTCGAATCCCGGCGTAGGCGAGCTTTTCTTGCAAAGTGAGTTTTTCTCTCGCCTCCGCTCCTGGCCGAGTGGATAGCACTAGTTCGTGTGTACACAGAGGGAAGAGAGTGCTGAACTCTTCTCGCATTAAAAATCGTAGGCAAAGTACCGCAGGAGGGGAGGGTAGAGAGGGACTCTTCTGTGTGACCACGGGTCGGAATAAACGGCACTAGTGCTGTGAGCGCTGATTTGAAGTGAAGAACAAAAAAAAAAAAAAAAAAAACATCTTGCACGTCTGCTCCTCGCCCAACAGGAGGCAGGCTGTTCCAGCCCCTGGTGATTTCAAACTGACCTCTGGTTTGAGGACGACTACTACACGACGCAAAGCAAAACGGCTGCGCATAAACACCGTCTGGACTTACCGTTTCCAACTGCAGGCAGTTTCCGATCTGGCAGAGCAGCTGGTGATCTGCGCTCAAACCTTCCTCCCCATGGCCTCCGGTGGTTGTCGCTCCTCCACCCAGAGCAAGAGGCGCTCCATTGCTGTGATCCATCCGGGAGGCCTCGTATGCACGGGTGCCAAGAGCCTGAGATCGTTTGAGCATATTGGGGAGAAGTGCTTTCTGCAGCCTGACGAAGATTCAACTTGGATTGCGGTGATGGGTGTGGGCACCGTTCTTGCAGCTAGTTGTGCTCTCGGCAGCAACACGAAGTGACTTAACGACACACCTTCGGTTACACACCTTCGGTTGAATTCTTGGAATATGCGACCGCGTCGCACGATGACTTACGTTGGCCGTTGCGCAACATGCAGCTTCAACAGACAAGAGAATATGCCTGGGGTCACCACGCAACACAAGGCGGTGAACACCGAAAAAAGGAGGTGCTCACCGTTCCATGCACGCACAACAAAACTTGAAACGCGCATTACTTGACATCGACAAGGCGTAGCGTCAAGCGGTACGTGGCCAAGACAAACTTGTATATAGTACTTATCCTCCAAGTCTTGTGGCCGAAAACAAAAAGCTGACGCGCACCGTCTCTGTCTACAGTGACAGGGCACGGACGCATTCTGCCCTCACCGTTACACAGCTCAGGAGGCACTGCACTGCGTCGCCCAATCCGTGTGTGATCTCAGCAGCGCTCCACTCCGCGCGCGGTAGTAGCTCCACCTGAATCATATTTGCACCATACATGAGCGCTCAACATCATATCTAGGGATACCTGGCGGCTTGAAAAAATACATGGTTTCCCATCACACGAGCTACTAATATAACCAAACTCTCGCACCATACACTGATGCACTCTACGATTGTCCCGATGTACCTCGATGATACAGTTTTATCTTCATTTCCAACACAAATAAAAGTCCAGCATCGTACAGAATACTAATACCATCTCGTTCCCCAAGTAGACAATAACACGCGAAACATGGCCTGTACGAGAAGGGTGTCAACCCTGAGGGTGCACCGACTGCGGATGCGAGTTAAACCACACAACGTAGCGCTGACGCATATGAGAACCCAGCCCCGAAGTCTTCGCGCAAGTGAATTTGAGCACCACAGATAACCTGTCGTACCAGGTTGATCATTCGCTCGTGTGCAAGGGCCCCGAACAGGTGAGGCAGTCGTGTTCCGCCCGGAGGATGCGGAGGTTCCGGGGCGAGCCAAGGGTCGACATCCATGAGGCCTTTCGCTTCGGTAGCCAGCGCAGCCATTTCTGAGCGGACGTGGAGCGCCTGAGCCTCCTTCACGAGCTGTCATCGACAATAGAGACGAGCGAGGGGGACGTGCGGACAAAACAGTCCCCGTGAACGTTGAGGTAATGCAGCATACCTGTCATCTTCACAATAACCAACGCCGTTACACGTCCCCGTCTTCGGAGAAGAGCTAAAATGCTGCACATCACTCGCACGCGCTGTCGAAATGTTTTTGCCAGCGACGATATCCACCGATAGCCTTCCAAGTAAACACGCCTTTTCTAAAGCCCGCAGCCCGGGGGAAAGAACCATATCGCCTTCCCAGCTCCCCCCCAGTGCTTGTGACAGGCTGTCGTACAAATGCGCCAAAGAGGAGAAAGCTTGTCGGAGATATCTGCCAAGAAAGAGAGGGGAAACGACAGCCGATCACGTGTCAGGGTTACTTGTTGGTGCAAGCGCCAGCTCCCACACTGTAGTACTCAGTACAAACAAGCTTCATCTTGAACATTAACAGGGCCACGATATCGAATGTTTTTTTCTGCATTTAACACCGAGCGTGACAACCTACAAAGCCCTCCAGATTCCGAAGTGACTCAAAGGTCCCGCACTTGTGCATTACTCCATCACCTCGAGTCTAGCGGATCTTTCAGGTGGGGTTCACCCGCGTACTTGTTTGACAGGCCGCCTTGCTTATTTCCCGCGAAGAGTGGAGTGGCGTTCGCTGTCGAAGCGCCTGACCTGCGACCATTGCTGCTGCCAGAGGCCTTGTCGGATACCTGCAACACGCAACACCAAGGACCAGCAACAGCCCCGAAAAAATAAAACAACGGCAGAGCGGGTACTCGAGAGCCAGGTTGACAATAGACGGGTCCACGCATGCGCGCAGAAGGCAGCGAAAATCAGAGCTTGCCACCGCTAGATAGACCAATGAAGCTGACGACGAGAGTGCTCTCGTGTCGGTTTGTCGAGCGGAAAGCCAAAACACAACGAAGGAACGGCTCGAATGTTTCTTCCAGCGTTTGGAACGCGAGCTATGTGAATGATCAATGCAGGGGAAACATGCCAATGTCTTACCGTGTCGTCTCCAAAAATGGCAGCTCGTAACACGGTTGTCGTGCTGTTCAGCCAGCCTTCGAACAGGCTCGTGAACTCTTTCTCCGCTTTGGTGCCTATTCGGTCTCTCTTCCCTGCGGCGAAGCTGTCGTCACTACCCAGGGTGGATGGAGTCTGTGGGCAGCAACGGGGAGGCCTTTCATGTTAAAGATAGATTCAAACGAAAGTAGGCATACATGTCTTGGGGGTGAGTAAAGTTCCATCGTCTTTTTCATGCTTTCGCGTTTTCGCTACCTCATGTGCGGTGCTCGCAGCCCGCGGTCCTGACGTTGTAATGCTGGCGGTGTCGCCATCGGCGTAGTCCGAAGCACCTCCGCCGTATGCTCCCGGTCCACATAGCTTGCGGATGTGTACGTGCGGAGAAGAGAGTCCGTTGTCCTCATCCGTGCCTCGACCATTTTTGCTGTGTTCCTGTCCAACGGGATGTACGCCGGAGCGATATGTTTTAAGAATCCAAAGACACACAGCCGGGGTGACGTACATGTGGAAACAAAAAGATGTACTTCGTTGAAAACCAACCTCACCAAACGAATCAGAAGAACCGCCAGGGACGCCAGGTGTGGAAGCCAACTCCCGAGGCACCACGCAAGGTTGCTGACGTGTTGCAGGCGAGCTACGCTGACGCGGTGGGTGAGAGCGTCCACGCCAGGAGCCAAGGGAAGCGCAATGTCTTCATCCAACTCCATGCCCTCGAGCTCCTGCAGGCCAGCTTGCACACGCCCGGCAGTTGCGTCCGATCTGTGTTGCCTCGAAATGAAAGGATATATGTTGGGGACGTTTCAAGGAGTGGGAACATGACAGCGCCTCTTATGGTACCACAACCGTGGCCATGTTTCAAAAATCAAGCCATGTCTCCATTTTGCCGAGTCACGGAAGAAAACGCACAAGGAAATGAACAGGTATCAGTAACGCGCTACTGGATAGGGCACAAATCGAGTACTGGTGCGATTGTACCAAACAGTCCTCTACGGGATCTCATGCATGTTCCCTTGGATCATGAGGGACACAAGCTTGGGACAAACTCTCCGTCAATTCTCTGTTCAGCGTGTTCAACCGGGGTCCTAAACGTCCTTTTCAGCGACCTCCGAAACACCTACTGCTTTCGACGAACCACAGCAACCACCGAGAGTGTGCTCAACGTACGCAGCGATCACCAAGTCGCTGTCGCCCGACGCCACCACTGGCTACGGTTACAACGTTTGTTCGGGCACAGGTTCACTTGCAGGCCATGAAAAACCCTTGTCAAGTTTCTTGGCCGCAATGCCCGTGGACGTGGTCCAGCGGGTTGGGTATAAGTGTATGAATTTTCGTTCGTGTATTTCGCTGGTGAGGCAGTGATCGCACCAATCATGCAAAATCAGAGGCCAATCCACATGAGCATCTATCGATAGCCATTTCTCCTCTGAAAGTTCCCAAAAGGGCGACGCTGACCAATCTTCGTGGAGAGTCGGTGACGCGAAAGTAAGAAGACGCCGTAATGAAATATAATCTTCACCTTCCATCGTCCTCAAGATGACGACTGCTCTCGAAGAAGAATTCATCGTCGCTCATGTCCATTGCCAGGAGAACGTCACCCTCGTGGAAATCGAAAAACCGCCCACCCCCGCCGTTGCGGGTTGCCGGAGAGAAATCCTGGTACAAGTGTGACACAACCAAGCCGATTACAGTAGCTCAACATGACAAGTGCAGTTGGGTCCGGTTTTTGAAACGGGCGCCACACATCAACCTATGCGTCAGAGAACGGCAAATTATTATCATTGAACAGCAGTATATCCTTTAAACTTAATTCGTACAATTCATTTCGAGCACCGCATTACACCGTTTCGGAACAGCAACCCAACAACCGAGCGGTGGCGGTTCAAAGATTCCGCAACATCAGATTTACAACCATTATCTCTGGTGGCTGTTGGTCTAGCGATTGTGATAAATCCGCGCGACGAGTATCGTCGGCGTTGCCTGTCTGAAGCCAATTTGTTTTTTAGCGGGTTTAACTAGCTGTTGCCTGAGTTTACTGCGTTGACAGATACAACAGCTGCTCGAGGAACAACCGTAGAAATATAGAGGGGTGTCAACGACTTGGTCGAACACAATGGTTGACGGGAACTTTCCTGAGGATGTAGCCCCGAGGAATCGCTGGTGGGTGGGTGGGTGGGTGGGTGGGTGGGTGGGTGGGAGGCGGCGAGATACCCCGATGGATAGAACGCTTCCTTTCGAAACTACTGGATGCTGGTTCGAACCCGGTCCGCTGTACATTTTCTTGCACCGCTCCAAAGCTAGGAAATAGTCCTATATCCCTAACTCCAACCCAACCGACCCGGCCCAATCCTCTGCCATTGGCAAGTTCTACGTCACTGTACCAAGTAAGCCTAGGTCGCGGCAAGCCGCGGCGCTAGGTTGCTGTGCACCGTTAGCGCTAGGTTGCTGTACGGTGAAAAGATAGGTTGCCGTGGATAGGCTCCACCTACCCAAGGAATGTCGGAGAAATGGTAGTCCGACATGGAGACCACCACATTCGACTAAGTCGTTAGCACTACTGGAACTAAAAATTGGTCACGCAAACTATAAACCCATTGGTGAATCTACCGCGGATTCCTATCTGTGGAAGAGAAAGTGTGTAATGCTAAATAGAGAAATTCGACGGTCACCGTTCGTTGTTGTCACATTCTACAAGTATATACAGTCGTCCTGGTCACTGCTCAGTCAGTCAGTCACACTAAATACCTTCTGTGGCTAAGTACCCAAAGGAAGTATATCGCAAAAAATACACTTGTTGGGGCAAAAAAAGTAAAATACCCCAAAAAGGCACAAAACATATATCGAACAGAGAAGAACATCTTCTGTGCTGATGATGATGCCGTTGGTTTCTAATGTATATAATGTACATGTGATATTTCTCAATTTTCTTGACATAGACTGTCACAACGAATGAATTCCTCTGAATCCCTAGATGAGATTCGACTTTTTGCTTTTCAAAACATATTCGAGAAGACGGCAAAAAATAGCGATAAACACAGGAAGAAACACAGGAAGACGGCGAACCGGTGAAGAGAGAAACAGCGCGCATGGTCGCACACTTCTGGCGTATGCAGCATGGTGGCGGCGAACCGGTGAAGAGAGAAACAGCGCGCATGGTCGCACACTTCTGGCGTATGCAGCATGGTGGCGTGGCGCATCGGCGTACCGTACCGTATGCGCTTTCGTCGTATCATGACTGTTGGCTCTAGGTCGGGTTGGCAACGCACTCGGCCCACACACATTTCACCACTACTAAACCACCTCTGAAAACATATGTTGTTTTTTAATTAATTATTAGTTGTTTTTGGGTTTTTGGAAGGCAAGTGGAGAGACTGATCACATGGAACGTACATGCCCCATTTTTACCAAGGAGAAAAAACACAAGGGCACAAACGGATTCGAATCGACGTCACTAGGCTGAAAGTTCCGCGCGACACCACTACACCAACCAGTGGACCAGTTGTTCCAATACTATGGCAATCTTGCGTTTCTAAATATGACAAAAATGGCCCGGCTGTTTTTTTTTTCTATGACGGTCACGATTTTTGTTGTTCCGCTCGCCGCTCAACGAATCTATGCATATGTGGTGTCACAAGAATCACAGGCGAGAGAGACACAGAGCGATAGAGACGATCAGACTGAGACCGACAAACACAGACGCAGACAGACACAGACGTCGACCGGGAGTACAAGAAGCAGGGTGCAAAACCAGACCGTTCGGAGAGGCTGTGCATCAGCCCTTTGTGTGTGCTGGGTGGGGCTGATGGGCCTTTTCGCCTGTTCTTCAGGTCTTCTTGCCTGCACGCAGGGAAACTTCAGGCAAATTGGATGGGTGTGCCATGCATTCCCAACCATCGTATCAGAAAACCAGAGCCAAATTTAATTCGGCTACACAAACGGCAAGATAATAATTATGATTTCCGGGAAAGTGCAGACAATATGAACATGATGCCGTGGTTGCTGCCACGCCGACCCTGAGATTAGATTTTTGCCTACATTGTTCGAGAAGCCAAAAAGAGCGACCAAGACAGGAAGATAGAAGGCGAACCGGTCAGGAGGACCGAAACAGCGCGCATAGTTGCACACTTCTGGCGCAACATGCAACTTGCTTGCTCGTCGACTCACCGTATGCACTTTCGTCGTATCATGGCCTTTTGGCACTATAATATGTCGGGTTGGAAACTCACTCGCCCACACATAATTTCATTTACGAAGCCACCACCTGAAATGAACATATGCCGTTGGTTACTGCCGAGCGACTTCAATTCAAGACTCGATTTTGCCGACATAGTGAAATTGTTCGACAAGACAAAATAGCAAAATATGCAACATGTGAATATTCATTGCTACTCTATCCCGGACTCTTTTATTTGTGGAAGAGATGGATTTGTTGTGTTTTTGTAAGAAAATACTACATGTAAACAGAGGGCGAACCCGTGACGAGGAGAGAAACGCATGGTCGCACATTTGTGGTGTATGCTATTGCACGCGGAGGGTGATGAAACTCGGCGAGGGCCAACGACGCGCGATACCCTACAAAGGCATACTCAAGATATCGCGAGACGTGCGCCGTAGGTCGAGGTCAGCCTGTTGTTTACTGCCAAGTGACCCTGACATTCGGTTTGTTCCGAATTTGCTTTCTTCAAGACAAAAAAGAGCGACTAAAACAGGCACACGGTGAACCAGTGAAGACGAGAGAAAAACAGCGCGCATGGTCGCCCACTTGTGGCCTAAGCTACTGGGCGCGAAAGTCGATGGAACTTAGCGAGGGGCCATGATTTGCGATGCCCTACTGAGGCATAGTCGACATGTCGCGAGACGTGCGCCATACATATGTAGGTCGAGATCGGCTTTTGAGACACGGTCGGGCAATGGTGGGGGTATCGGAATAATAGGGTCTGCGACAAAATATAATTTCCGTCGGAGAGACTGAAGCTTAGACTACAGCTTCAGAATAGGCGGGCTTTCTGGGTGACAAATACGGCTGGTCGACACGGCTTCGGGACAAACCGCTGTGTGTGTTGTGCGACACAAGTTTGACGCACCAGCCGGGGGCACACCGGAGGAAGGTAAACACAGGAGGTAGTATTTCTCCATTTTCTTCCTGCGGTGCCTAGCTTCTAGTTGATTCTTCACGCGACAAAGGTTGAGCAGGACCGTGCGCAGAATAAAATAATCTCAAATCTTCCATGGCCCAACAATTTTTTCCAACCCGGTTCAGCACACACAAGCCACGTGAACTCGCCTCAGAGTCTGTGAGATCCTCCGACGTAGACCCGGGCTTGGATGCTAGAGACCTTGCGGGTGATATTGCCGATGAAACCCGACGCGCATCGGATCGGATGGTACTGGAGCTGCCGTCTTGGGTGTGGTTCCTAGGAAGGGGGCATGTCAGAACGAGTGGTATGAGCATGGGTCGATTCAGGGAAGAAGCAACTTGTTTATGCACAGCAGCGCCCAGCGGAAACCGAAAAAGCACCACATACCTGGTGTTTTGCTGCTGTGCGTCGCTCTTCCTTCCGATTCTCCCGCGCGCTCGCCGGTACGCAAATGCGTCCACTAGAAGGGCTTCCATCGCTTCCCGGCATTGACTGGCGTTGTCCAGAAAGTTACCCCTGTCATCAAAGAGACGTGCATTCAGTAGAAGCCGCACGGTGAGATGCCGCACTCTGCCAAGCGATTCATCACCCCCCCGCAGTGCAAAGAAAAACAAAATTATGTCTTCATGATTCAAGTTTACAATAAAAAGAAATATCTCCAAAACACCGTCCCTCCTTGCACGTCAGGCTTGTGCGTTTTGACTCACTTTTGGTAGTCAAAGCACGCCTGTAATGGCTCGTCCCCATCGTATTGAAGGTCCTGAAGATGGCCCACGGCATCTACCTGCTGCTCGAGGCTGACATCTGGGCTGCGCAGTATTTCCACTAGACGTATGCACGCTTGCTGGCCAACTGCTTCCGCCTCAACCCTCACCTGTAGGTACAAACCGTAAATGCCATCGGAGGAGCAGCTCAGGTCCCACCAGTCACCCAATGGCATGTTCATGAGTCCATATACTTTGCAATATGTTCGGTCAGTGGAGGGAGGGAGGGTTAATGGCATCTCCATTGCCACAGAGGACATACCTTGCTGAGAATTGAAGAGCTGTAAGTCGTGTGAGCCTTCCTGTAGAGCTTCACCAGCTCCATGTACCTCCCGTCTGCCATGCAAGCTGACATCTCGCGGGGGATATCGAGAATCGACCCCTTCTCAGAAAGAAGATGCTGGGCGGCGCGAACCTGTCGAAGGCCGAGTCCCCCGGAACCGGGCGGCGATAAACAAATGGTTGTTTCGTGCATTCATTCTCTATACGAATACTATACACCCGATTGAAAACAAATCTCAAGTCTGCAAGAGCGTCCACGTTCAGCCCGTCCAAGGGTCAAACCACGGACAGTAAACAAGGTACGGCAGAATCTTTTTGGACCACCAAGCGGACACACGGAATGCGACGTTGGTGCTACACCCGCACACTCTCTACGCCATTCTTTTCCGGGCTTGACGAAGTTTGGTCGTTTGCTTGCTATCCTGAAACTGCACGAAATACACCAGAGCAGGCAATTGGGGAAACACGATTGCCCCACTGCTGGTGCTCTCGGTGCTCTCACAGACAAAGGCCGAGCATTGCCTAAACCCACTGCCTGTTGGTTTAGCGAATCGGCATGGGCACCACTGGCCCAATGAAATAATACAGAACTTTGACCCTAGCCGATACTTACACCACGCAATCACCCCCCCCTACGGCATGCACGACTATGAGTACACCCCATCTCACAATGCAGTAGTTTGGTAGAAAGTTGATAGTTTGTAAGAGAGCAGTGAAGTGGTGGGACGAAGAAATCAAGCATGCAATTCGAGTACGTAGAGAGTCACACGCAAAATATGCGGCAGGGAAAACAGATGCAGGATGGAAGGAGTATGTTGAAAGTAGAAAGAGGGTGAAGGAGTTGGTCGTGAAGAAGAAGAAAGGGTTGTGGGAGGAAGTAGTCCAAAAGACTAACGAAGATTTTGAGGGGGGGATGAAGCAAATGTGGGTAGGAATTCAAGGGATAGTGGGCAACAAAAGAGGGGGAGACACGGAAATAACGACACTAAGATCTGCCGAGGGTAAGATGGTAAGCAGTTCTAAAGGAAAGAGGGAAGTACTAGTAGAGCACTACCGCAAACTTGGGACACCCACCACCAACGACAACTTCGACTCGGAGTTTGAGAAGGAAATCAACTCGTGGGCAGAGGAAAACGTTGAAAGATCTCAGAGGGAACGTAGTGATGTAGACTGGTTGCAGGGAGAGTTCACACGAGAGGAGGTAGAGGACTGCGTAGCGAAACTCAAGAATAGAAAAGCGGCAGGGGCTGATGGAATTGTGAACGAGCTTTTGAAACAGGGGGGGGAGGGGATGATTAACATGTTGGTCCGGATATTCAACTGGATATGGAAACACGAGTACGCGCCGAACAGATGGAGAGAAGGACTAGTCGTGAACCTGTTCAAAAAGGGGGATAAAGCTGACCCGGGGAATTATAGAGGGATAACCCTGCTGAGCACAGTGGGGAAACTGTTTGGCAAGATGATAGACAATAGAATGGGAGACATGTTGGAGGGGAAACAAAAGATCAGCGAAGGACAAGCTGGATTTAGACCAGATCGTAGTTGTGTAGACCATGTATATACGTTGAGTAAAATCATCCAAGGTAGGAAAGACGCCGGGCGTACGACATACTGTTTCTTCCTCGATGTACAAAAAGCCTACGACACCGTATGGCGCAATGGATTGTGGAAAAAGATGTGGGACATCGGCATCCGGGGGAAAATGTGGAGGATGTTGAAAAAGATGACAGAATGCACAAGAAGTGCGGTGATGTTGGATGGGGAAATTTCGAAGTACGTGGATATACTCCAAGGAGTCGCACAGGGCTGTACGATGTCACCCACTCTTTTTAAGATTTACATCAACGATTTGATAAGGGCGGTTGAAGCAGTAAGACAGGGAGTCCAAGTAGGGGGAAAGAATGTGTCCGGACTGATGTTTGCAGATGATTTTGTGGGGGTATCCGAAACTCCAGAAGGGTTGCAAGAACAAATAGATGCGGCTGTAGGATACACCCAAAAATGGAGACTGTCGGCGAACGTAGGAAAATGCGCAGTAGTGGTCTGTAACGAAGACAAGAAAAATCCCGTAGAATTCAAATGGAAATGGGGGGAGGAAGAACTACCGGTAGTAGACAAGTATACGTACCTGGGAGTAGAGATTTCGAAGGAGTGCTCATGGGACGCACACATAGCGAAGTTGATTGGGAAGGGTAAAGCTCAGATAGGCAAGATGGACGAGATCCTTACGGACCCACACCTAGACACTAGGATTAAAAGGTGTATTCTCTTGAATGTGATTGTACCTAAGCTAGAGTATGCAGGAGAGGTATGGGAAGGTAACGAAAAGGCCGTCAAGCAGATGGAAACAGTGCAGATGGCAGCGGCCAAGAAAATATTAGGATGTTCAAGTACAACGAGCAACACTGTATTGAGAGCAGAATTGGGAATGTACTCTCTTAAAACAAAGAGAGACATGCAGAAGTTGAATTGGCAGTACAAGGTGAGTGGAATGTCGGACGATAGACTACCAGCCATGGTTGACAAGGCAGCTTGGGGAAAAGCGACTCCAGGGAAGAAGGGAATCAGATGGGACAAGGTGGTAGAGAAGGTTTGGAAGGAGATAGGAGAAGAGGAGGAGACGTTGGACACGGAAGGGTTCGGGGGGTTCAAGACGAAAGTCAAGGAGATGCTAGAGAGTAGGGAGGAGGCAACCCTTCGGAAGAAGGTACGAAGCGAAGACCACTTGGAGATATACGGGAAGTTTAAAGAAGGGATAGGGATGAAGACGTACTTGGACGGCCCCATGGACTATGCGAAAAAGCTGAAATTGCAATTTCGAGTAGGCGATCTGGACTTGCCAGAACGGAGGAAGAGGTATACCAGCCGTAGGAGAGAGGAAGAGGAGGATAGACACACATGTCCATGTGGCAAATCGGAGGAGAGTAGACCCCACATAGTTGGGGAGTGTGAGTTGTACAGGAAGGAAAGAGAGGATCTCGAGGAGGAAATGAGACAGAGAGGATGTGACATTGACAAGTTTGGTAAATTAGACAACAGCGAAAAAACGATCGCGATAATTGGGGATAGATGGTAGGCACAAGAGGCCCTAGAGGACGGGGATAAGATGTGCAAGAAATTTTTATGGAGTTTGTGGCAGAAACGTAAAGAGCTCCCAAATGTTGGTGGTGTCTCTAGTAGGGGTAGGAACGGTGCTCCGTCTCGAAAGGGACGCGTGGTCAATGGTCAAATGACTACGGCAAGCAACAAATGAGTACGCCCCCCATCTCACAATGCGAGGTCAATGGTCTAACGACTACGGCATGCACGACTTTGAGTACCCCCCCCCTCCCCCCCATCTCACACTTTGCAGCAGTGCACCCAGCCTCATATCCCGTGCACCCCGGTGGAATAAACGAAGACGGAAAAACAACAAAGGCTCAAGGGCATGTTACTCGCCCACGTTTAGCTTGCCTGCTTGATGTTGTCGAGCTTCTGCAGTAACTGGCTAGTGTTTTTCCCAGCTTCTGTTCGCGCGCCCTCCATGAGTCTTGTAAGCTCCTTGAGGTGGCTCTTTGCGGGCCCCGCTCCCGTCCAGGTTTCGCCCACTGCCCCCGCAGGGCGAGATTGACCTTCCACTTCTCGCTCAGCCTTAAGTTGCATCCTTAGTTGAGCAAGCGTTTTTGGACGAGATGGAGCTTTTTCCTTCGGCTGTGCGACAAAAAACAAGCAAGCAGCAATAGCGAGAAAATATTGGGATGAAATGGGGAATTTCTCCTGTCGGCTTTCGCAACACACGACCATGGATGTAGACGTCGAAAGCGCAGATTGGATGCGTGCACAGCAACAACTCGCACGGTTACAACAAACCCGCAGTGCGCACGCTTCATATGCGACAAACAGTTGCGCGACCCAACGGTAATGCAGTGCATTCAGGCCTTCCACGTAAACTGTTGACGAGCATTCTCGACTCATCCACACTGCCAATGCGTCGTACTCTCTATTGCAAGATACGATGTGCCGGCAGGTGCTAACGCTAAATTGAGCAACCCCATTCCTGAGCACAAATTTGACACGGTTTCTGACCTGGGCATTGGCATGCCGTGGCGCCAAGTCTCCCACACGAGTGGAAGTCGCTTGGAGCGCTGTTTCAGCAGTGTTGTGTGTGTGTTTTGTCCTATTTATTATGGCGACAGTCCCCCAATTGTTTTCGTGGTGAGACGTGTGCTACACCTTTCAGTATATTTTTTCGTACAACTACAACCATCCAGGGTACGTAATATATCGCAAACAAGGTTATTTCGCTTTGGCGACGTTCACCTGTTCCTTGTTCTTGGACAATTCCATGTTGATATGGCTTGCGTATTTCTCGATGCTGTCCGCACAGCGAACGAAGCTGTCGAAATGATCCCGCACCAGATGCTGAAGCTCGCTTGCCTGGAACCACAAGATAGATCAGCACCGAGGCTAGTCTGAGACCAAGCTCAGTGATACCAAGAGGGACATTACAGCTGCCAATGAGAAACGTTCGCTGACCACAACAAAATGACAAGAACGTCGCACCCATGCAGTTAGACGTACAAGTCTTAACAACAGAACGAGGCATGAAGAAAAGCTCAAACCTGGTTCGCTTTGGCGCCGTCGAGACTCTCAAGTCCGTTTCGAATGTCGTTGAACGATGCGGTGGCATGGACCACAGTCATGAAGAGAGCCGGGTCGAAGTCTTCCATAGTAGGCACAACAGAGCGACTGCGTAGTTTGATCCGGAGACAGCCGGCGGGTATGGGATCACGGGTATGGAAATATTAGTCGGGAGATTGCAAACAGCAAAACGAGAGAAAAAAAAGAGAGGAAACCGACAGGGAGCACCTTATTTCTCTCGTAACTGGCTTGCTTTCGGGTACGGATCCGATCTCGCCATCTCGCATCCGTTCCCCTTTGTCGCTTCGCTTGCGATCCATTTTGCGCTGCACACGCTCTTTCCCGGACTGCATCTTCTTCAGCAAGCGTAATCGATCTTTTTGGCCAAGAAGAGCGCGCTTCTTGGCTTGTAATGTGCCAGACACTTCTCGGTCAGCCCCGTCCACTTCCTGAAGAATACAGAGGGAACACCACAGGGGAAAGAGTAGGAGATAAGATATCTTGTTCTTGCGCAAGCTGCCAATACTGACCAACAGAAACGACCGAATGCACTACTCACCACAACCGCTGATGTGTCGCCTTCAACAAGAGTCTTCTGATACACCCGAAGGTCCACTTGCTTAAGTCCCAGCGGGTCCGCGACAGGCTCGTCAGCTTTGGCCGCTGCAAAAAAAACATGCGGTAGCAAAACCATCAGAGTTTCTGCCCGTTAGTGTTCTCGTTCGAGTCAAGTTCGAGTTGAGCCTACACGGACGCATGTCTGCACTCTGCAACAACGGAACGGCAGGCCCCAAACTTGTTGAGCACGCGACCCAGAAAATCATGGTGTCCCACATGAGCGATCAACGACAAGCTACGCGAATGGTGACACTTACCCAAGTCTACAGCTACCGGGCTTGCGCGGCTGTTCAATGCGACGAACTGTTCTTGGTCCACCTGCATGAAGCAGCCAGTCAGACAGGGGCAGGTACGGGAAACGTGATGTGGCGCATCGCTGGCTCACTCGGGAGCTTGTGTTGAGCTTCAACCTTGCCCACGATGCAATTGCGAAACGACGTCTAATCCAGCACTCATTTAGCCTCTGGCTTTACCGTCGTCTGATTCGGGGGAATTGAACGACGCCCTGCTTTGTCCCAACTAGATACGCGTGCACCCAAACGTGGACTGTCGCCAGCACAGCTTGTGTCATAGTGGTACGAGCAACCGAGTGGCTTCTGGCGGGAAAATCATACGACCAAAGTTAGGCGAGCATTACGAGATAGTCGGTACCTCTGCCCAAGTCAACGGTGTGTCGTCGTCGTTGACTCCGTCCGGCCCGTCATCTGCTGCCTCCCCTGCCCCCTCATCGTTGTTTCTGGTCGAACCTTCGGTGGAACCACCTACACCAGCATCTGGATAACGCCGTCTCTCTTGGTCGCTTGGGTTGAGACGAAGTGTATCTTGCTTTCCCATGGCCGTTCGCTGTAGCCAGTCCATGAAAATCTGCCATCGGATTCATCGCAACTTCGCTTGAGCATGTTCGATCAGTGACGAAATCGATGTTTACACAAGAGGGTCCAGCTTCGGTGTGTGACAACCGCCGTTTTAGTCTTCAGCAGACCCCACCAAATCACGAAAACAATCAAATCAATCACGTGATGAGTCTTGAACACATGTTTTGATAACGTAAACGGCCAGTTTTTGCCACACTGACTTGCATGAGTCAAATAAATCGTCAAACTGACTGCTGTTGCGATTGTTGTGTAATCATGGGGATATTACCCACCTTTCTGGCCTCTTCTCCAGGAAGAAGCTCCTCCACAGAGATTTCCTCCGCCTCGCCCAAGTCATCACGATGGCGTTGCAAAACCAGGCTGACGATTTCGCACGCCTCCTCACTATTGCCTCCTCGAGAAGATGCCTTGCTGCCCTTTTGAGTCCCCGTAATGAGCAAATGGAGCTCAAGCCTCATTTTCCGTAAATCTTCCAACGCCACCTTGGTGCATCCACCATATACCACAAGAGGAGGGCGGAATTGACGGGAGTCCGTTGAGCAGCGCGGGCCCGACACAAAGGGTGATCTGGTCTTCGCTCATCGTGCTTCCACCACATGTCCAGTCTACGCCACGTCTCTTCTCTTTGACTAAAGTTTAGGTATTTTCTACCACAATCTGCCACAACTCTTCGCAATCATTCAGTTCAGAGCAAGATAGACTGCAACCTTGAGATTTTTCGAAAAAGCCAGGTCACAAGTCACGGATCCCAATGCACTTCATTTGAGAGGGGGGAAAACCAGCAAGCAAGCATCTTCACAAGCAATTCAGAAGATTTGTCTCTTGTAGCATTAGCAACTTCAGAGGTAATGCTTCCTTTAAGAACGCGGTAGGGGTGCCACCATAAAATGGTGGTGCGCATAAGATTGCCGTGGGGAGGGCGGTTCTATGTACCACAAAGAAAGAAATAGCCCCCGGCCAGGGTGAAACGTCTCGTCGGGGTATAACTAAACCTTGGTCACGAGTGGTCTCCGAAATACGATTTCTCGGAACATTCCTTGGGTAGGCTCGGGCAGCAACCTACATGTAGTTTCCCCCCCTCTTGTGCAGCGGCGTAGGCCTACGCTACAGGTGTTACCTAGCCCTTTACCCTTGTGCGCCGCGGCATAGGGTCACACGTACGGCAACTAAGCGCGATGCGCCGTGTGTGCTATCCAAGCTTGCCTGAACTTTTCCTGCTGTAGTCTAGCCTGTTGTACCACCGTTCACATATTTTCGACACTGCTGTTACATTTTTGCACTCTTTCTCCGTACCCTGCGCTGTTTCGAAAGCGGCTTCGTGGGCACGTAAAAACGGTTTAGAAGTGAATGGGCAATGATGTCTACTGTACTATTCCGATGAAAGCTGCGTCTGCGGGTAAGATCGGCGCAGAACAAAATCAGGGTTTCGGGACAAGGCAGTGTGTGTGCATCCATCACCTGCAGAAATCTTGCAAGGAATATATTCTCGTCTCCAGATGGGTCCCGCAAGGACACCAGCCACTTGAGCAGTGAAATTGCCGTCGCTGCTGTCCTGAAGAGAGAGACAGACGCCGTCGGCCGTCGGGAAGACGGAAGGACGAATCACGCATCTTGACGACGCACAACACTTTTGCACACGCTGTCCATGGCTTTGCTCGTGTTCTACGTCATTTGAGTACGGCTAGTAGCCATACTGACTGCAGAACCCACCTTTTCAATGCCCCTTGCGTGCCAGTAGAGCTCTCACCGCACCATTGCATCAGGCCCATCGTGTACCCGTCCCCAAGGAGCAAGGAGTCGACATCATCGTCGTAGAATTCCATGCCCTGCTTTTCCACGAAAGCCCTAAAAGCCTTGAGAGCTTTCTCTCGTGCACTATGCTTCGATGCATTGAGCCCCGTAATGAATCTCTGGATCTCAACACCGGCATCTTCCGGGCTGATCGGCATGGTGTGTGTCGGTGTATGTGGTTGTGTCTTGCACACCGACACTGCTGCTGAGCACCGCGACTGCGCTTTGAATGTGTTCAGTGTTCAGTGGATGCGTTTTTTTTTTTTCTCACAGTCCAGTGTCCGCCGGTGGTGGGGTGCGTCCATTATCCATCGCGTTGTGCCCCCAATTAATTAATTATCTTACCGCGCGCAAGCGGCAGCCCACCCAGTCAGTCTGCAGTCACCGTTGCAGCTGTGAGGTTCCATGCACAACTGCTCATCAGCCGTGGCATGAGCTCCGACGACGACCATCGCAGAAAGAGGTCTAGGGGTGGAACCAACGAAGATTTTCGGAGGGAGAGCAAATCAAGAAATCGATCCAGCGGGAGAAAAGGTGACGGAAGATAGCACCGTCCTTTGTCTTGTTTGGGACTTAAAAGTTACACCAACACGAGCCTTACCCGTTCGAGATACATGTACTACACAAGTACCGTAATCTGAGCACCGCACTCGTTTTCTTACGGCTTCTGGAGCTGCTTTCAAGGACTGTAGAACACAATTTATCTATCAAATTACGCGTTTATGTTCGGAGTCGGAGGACAGGTCACTATGGCCCAGGGTGTATGGTGTACTGCTGTGTACGCCATTGCGAGGTTCGCTCCTTGGCGTCTCTGAATGATAACTGCAACTGCTTACAGTGGTACCACACTTTTGACATCTACGAGCAATGGAGATTTTTCGTACGGTGGTGGTCCGATACACCGCGGTAATAGTCGCTTGTCACGAGATTTGGCTGCCATACTATAAGCTATATACTCCCGAACACGCAATAGTGCGGTGTCCCGATGTACCGCGGTGTGCTTGTCACTACACTACACCGCAGTCTCTCGGGACCACCACTGCGTACGCGTAACATCACTCCTATTCAGTAGCCTACCGCAGTTGACAAACAATATCACACCCCTTGAGCCGATTTTCAAAGCTTCAATAGAATACCTGATGTACCAGAAAGAGTGGTGGTGCCGAAATGGCGGCGTTGGATGCGCCATGTCGAGAGATTACCGAAAACGCATGTATCGCTTGGTTTGTTGACGCTCTTCGTCGCGGAGTAATCGAGCTTTAAAAATCGGTTCGGGGTGTGTGATATGTATCTTGCGATGTAGATGGCTACAGGTGAGAGAGGTCTCTTGAAAGTAGTTCACAAACAGTTCAGCAACACGGAAACAAACAGAGAGTTCGGACCTCCTGCTCCAAAAACGGTAGTTCCTGTGACAGTCTCGCCAACCGATCTCGATATTGCCTGCCCAAAACCAAAAACATTCCCCAAACCTAAAACCAATTATTTAAATCAAAACCCCCCATAATAATATATTTTATTGACTGCTGTATTGTACCACTTCGTATTATATACCTCAAGTAGATGATGAATAAAACCGAGGAAGCACCCAGCAATCACACACGAGACACGTCAAACCAAGTCGGCAGTTTGGCAACAAAAAAGACTTGAGTTCCATACAGGGCAGCGGGTGGGGCTTGTCTCCCGCAGCATTCCAGGTATCACGTAATCTACCTCCACACACTCAAACCCAGATATTTTTCCCAACAGTCTTAAGCTGAAGACGTCACAGGCGACACGGCGAGTGCTTAAAAAACGTCATTGCGTTGCGGAGTCCCGACCTGGGTACATATTGCAATAGAGGACATCATGGAGCAGCGGCTGCCCGTTGGCGCGACCGTATGTGTTGCTGGGGCCGTTCTATCGAAGGTGGCAGCTGCAGTCCGAACAGTCCGCATATCATCTGTGTCCAAACCGTTCACGATCCACTGCTGCACGCGCCGTCATAGACTAATTTCCCTGAAGTGCTGGTCGTCCAAGGCAGCTTGTGGTGTGAGCGGTGAATACTGCTCTAAACCCTCAGCGAGGGATGTAGTCTGGGACGGCGCGTATGCAGTAGATCGTGAATGGTTATGGTTTAGATGCAGGTTTGCGGGCTTTCACGGCTCCATGATGTCCTGTACTGGAATGTGCTCAAGTCGGGACTCTGCACGCCAGCGAAAAGGTCGTTTTCGAGCTCTTGACCTCCTATTATTTTGGATTTTGAATAGAAACTGAATACCTATTGTTGGCAAGAACTTTTTATGATAGCCAACCAGGCCCCAATGCCCGTGTTTGCAGAGCTTCTGTGAGGTTTATAATGAGCCGCGGACCGCGAAGCGCGACCTTTTCCCCCTTAATCCCCAGGAGGGAAAAAAAGGCTCTGCATATCGGCCTATTCCGTCGCGTGTTGCAGGGGCCCCAAACTTGGTTTCCGGGAAGCCGACATAAAACCCACCTCTGGAACCAGAACGAGATCTATTGCGCACCAATTGACGATCTGTTCGCTTCTGAGGAAGAAGAAAAATTGCGCGCCCTTCGTCACACGGGTTTCAGTAATCTACGCAGCAAAATTGATTAAGCAAACATGTGGAATAAAGTACTCAATCCGTGCTTTGGGGTTAGGGTTAGGGATAGGGTCTGCGTGCCCCCTCCTATTCTTTTTCTAGATACTCTTACAATCCTGCGTAGGCGGTCCACGGGTTTGGTTGTGCTTCGGCAACATATGGCCGTGCTTCACAGACGTATGTGCCCAAATTTCGTAGGAGATCGGTTACCCCATCCCCTTGGGTTTCCGCGAAAAGGGGAACACAAAAACGGAGATCACGCGCGCGCGCGATTGAAACCACAGGAGAAGAAACAGAGACAGAGACGCAACAACACGACCAAAAACCGCATCGCCGCTGGGACGCTCATCATCCGAGACCAGCTTTTAAAACCACGAGGGACCGAGCCTACACGACCTGCGCGCCGTGGGTAGTCATGCGCCATGTGTAACCTGGCCGAGGTGTTTATTGATGTTGAATGGGTCCAACCGACTCCCCAAAAAACAGCAGACCGATCAACTGTATGCAACTGCTTGCTTTCACTTGGCGGGAAATTCGGAGGCTCGATCGAGACGAATGTGGTGGGAATCTGTCTGTCACGCATCTGTCTGTCACGCATCTGTCTGTCACCATCCCATGTCTGTCTACGCTGCTGCTGCTCGTGCGCCGAGTGCGTATATGCCGCATGCGTGCCTTTTCCAGATGTGCATGTTTGCTTTCGCACAGCGGGAAGACTTCATATTTTGGTTCTTCGTGGGTGTATGCCTGTGCATCAACGGAAAAGAAACTAAACTACCCCATAAAAGTGCAAAATTTTGACGGGCCGCACATACAACTATCGTCGCAGCTGTCGCACCCGTCCCTCTGGTGCACGGCGTAGCTGCACCACAAACGATTCGCGCTGCTGTGTGTCGTCGATCGTGCACCATCACCATCGCAGATAAGACTTCTGCGAGGTGTTAAGTCGCTACCCCGCGGCTCATTACCCCGCCCTATCTAGTAGTCTTATTTTACTGTGAGGTTGGTGCTGTGTGGTGTGTGTTGTCGTCCGATTTATCCTGCACCTTCAGTTAAAACTCTTAACATGTGTGGACGCACCAGCCGGGGTTGCACACGAGGAAGCCCGCAAAGCTTTTTCTTTTTTCTTCTCAATCTTCCTTCTGCAGTGCTTGCTGTTGTTTCTTATCCGCTCCGATCTCTTGTTTGAGTACCTCCTTACAACCCTACAACCCTACCGGTAGGTCCTGCTGACACGTGGTTGCAGGCTATGTAACTCCGCGTAACAGGATCAGAACAATCAAGAGAATTACATAGATGTAAACTAAATCAACACAAATGCGTCAGAATATGTCATTCGGCAGAACGTAAGACGTCGCAGACGACATGTTGGACAAAAGAAATAATTCGAGAGGGCTCATCACTCCAAACCGAATCACGAGGCCAGCCAAAATAGAATGAGCACGAAGATCGAAGATCACCAACCAAGACCACATAAATCGCATCATTCCTTGCACCACACGGCTGGCAGTCCCAATGGTGCGGTTGGTACCCTCGCAACTTCCTGACGTGTGGACGTCGGGTTAATCCCTGTCTCAAGATGCAATTCAGGCTGGTTCGAATCTCGACGCTGTCACAGAAACCGGTTTTTTTCTCACTACATTATACACGTTGCGTATAAGCAACGGGCGAGTATTTCTCGCAATATAACGAAAGCACGCACTGCAGAAGGAACGCGGAGAAAATATAAAAAAACTTCTGTATGGCCCTGGCTGACGCGTCCAAAAACGCGCCCAATCTTCTGAAACCATTTCAGGGGATTGATTGGTGTCTTTTGCAACTACCAAAAGACGAGCAAACGATTTTGATCGCTTTGTTTACCCCTGTTTTTACCGGTCGCGCTCATTTGGTGTTAGACTGGTCGTGTTTCTACGCTGTCTCCAAAACCATGCGTTTTCTTCCGCCGACGCCTCGAAAGTGTTCCTTACGACCTGTCGTATAACACGCAAAAATTTTCATGCTGCTTTCACCGTGTCTTTTCGAAGCGAAAACCCCTCTCTACTTCCCAATCCGGACATCGTATGGCGTTGGAAGCCCAGCCTCTGTGCGCCGAAATCGAAACTCTTTTGTCCTGATGCAACTTCTCTAGCCGACGCATGCTACTGCTGTCTACATTGTATTGCTGAACATATGACAGCCTGTCTGTTTCTTCGACTTGCATCATACGTCAGTTCCTGTTGTTTTCTCTCCGTTCCTCGCTCTCTCGCGGCGGGGGTGGGGGACACAAGGGCGCAGGCTTCGGACGAGGCCAGGGCTACGCCCGCGCTATCATGGATAACGTAAACTTCGACGTCCAGAATATGTGAAATGAAGAAACACCCGCACCCGACTTGTACAGTGTGTATGTACCGCCAAGTTCCGCGGCTCATGCCCCTACCCCCAAATACAACATGCACGATGTTTTCTATTCTCCATTCCGAATCAAGACAAGGCAAGGTTCCCCCCCGATCCCTACTATGCCGGAATATTCCTTAAGTTCTCGTCGATCAGGCTGACCCCCGCCGTACGCAGACATACAATATACCATCGAAGGAATCCAC